CTTTTCCACATACACTTGTACTATAAACAACTAGAATTAATCGTTTATTATTGATTATTTCAGCGTTTAGAAGTATATATGTAACTAGTTTAAAAAAGATTTTGAAGTTTTGTACCAAAACCATTGATTAATTATTTATTATATAATTATCTTTGTATATCAAAAGCGATGTCTAGGTTTAAATTTTTATTAATTTTAGATACTAACTGAAATATACATATTCATTACATACTGTATATATTTTAATACATATAGATGAAATTGGTGTGTTTGCTTTTAATATTGAAATAATCGTTTTATACTTGATGCATTTGAATATGTATACGGTACATACACCAAAATAACATTAAAAAAATGTCTACCTGTTTGTTCCGGCTCATCTCTAAAATGGCTAAACCGATTTAGACTGGACTTTTATTGGCAGGTAGCTGATGTAATAAGGAGTAACTAAGACTACTTTTTATCTTATATTAAAAGTTTCTTCATTGTTTATTGTATTTTTTTACACAGACGGAGTCGTAGGTAACAGTTATAGACATGTATAATAAAACAATGAAGTACACGGTGCACCAATTTCTTGTTTTAAACATTTAATGGCCCTCACTTAAACGCTTCTTGTTATGTAAAGACATTAATAAAACGAAACGTAACAATGTAAATTGTTTATTATTTTGTTGAAAACAATGAGCTCGTGATAACTTACGGCGTAATGAGAGATCTTCTTTTAACAACTGTTCTGTTGTGTAATCTATAATGATGGACTAATAAACACGATCTCAAGCTTCTGTTTTTAGTATTAAAAAAAAAACATAATTTAAATTTCGAACATTTTAACAGCATCTTTTTATAGTTTCGTAGAAAAGTATACAGAATAAAATTTTATAGAACGGTGAGTTATTATTGTATGATATTTTTTTTAAGAAACCTCATACATACATATTAAGAAATAAAAGATTTTAGTGTGAGATGTGGAGTTGAATATCAGGCCGTGAAGCGTGAACCGTGACGAACAACGACCTGAAGCACAGATTATATTTAAAACTATTAAATTATGAATAACGCGAATAAGGTTATGAATAAAGTTTAGATTTATTAGAAACGTAGACCTGATCTGATGAAGGATGAAGCTATTGCAGCTATAGCTTGACTATAGCTTAAGTATAGCTTCGACGACAGAAAACTGGGCTATATAAAAAATAAGCCAGAAGTCATGAGTACAGAGTAGTCAATGAAAAGTGGCTAAGTTTAATATTTTTGACAAATTTTAATGTTCCGTAATAGTTTGAATTCATATTTTAAAGAAGTATTACATAGTTTTTAGCAGAATTTTTAAACAATTTAATGATTAATAGTTATGATGTTAAAAAATAATTGACTGTTTTTCACACTAAGTATATAGATAGTTTTACTATAGCGATGACATATTAATTCATTTGATTAAATTTGTGTGACCAAATCTTTTAAAATTCTAAAGTCTTCAGTCTTTAAAAATTAAAGAGTGTGAAAGCATATCGTGTTGTAATAGGTTTTATAAGAATTAAGATGTATCAAGATTTAATACAGTTACAAGGATATTTAAAAAAAAAACAATATCTTTTGCATAAAAGATTCCGGTAAAGATACAGGTAGAATAAATGTTCTGTGGTTTTAATAATCTGTGTAAATTCCAATCATAAAGTTTTACACAAGTCTCAAAAGTCAAATTTGAAATTATTATTTTAGTATATTTGACAGCGACGGGTGTCGTAAATAATAATTATAATATATAATATCACTTCTGATATAGAATATCTCACGGAGTGAATGTATCTCTCCTGCATTAATAATGAAATCATCGATAATAAAAACAACACTAAAACATCGGATCTCTCGGTTAATATGTGAGAAAGTATCTCGAACAATTACCGTTTTGCGACGGTTGAAAACTTGTTAATTATCAACGGAACTGGTTGAAATATACAACGCTATCTATTATAACGACGGCGTCCTTCAGAAAACATTATATTAATAGGTAATCTTATTATGCATAGTAACGGTGAAATGAATTAAAGTTAGTAATAATTCTTTAGTGTTGTAAAGGTCAAGATATCGATACTTCGCAAGAAGGTGTTGGACAGTACGTGCTTTTACCGTTTACCTGAACACGATAGTTTCTGACTTTCCATTCATATATCCTCAATTTTATTATCATCATTAGCTTTCTATGAAGGCATTAAAACAAGTTATATTAATTTGGTTACACATATTTAATATAACGTTTGTTTAGACTGAATTTTGGATGTAAATATCAAAGTTTAATAATTGTAAGTTTTTTATTGTGAATGAATGAACGAATGAACGAATGAGATTGAAAAGAGTTGAAATTGAACACAAACAAAGCCGTGGGTACAACAATATTGAATACATCTGATCACAAGTGAACACTCACTTCTTACTTAATGCGGTTAAACCTGTTCACAATTTCAATTCATGTAGGTTGATTGCCATATATGATGAACATTATCGCAGCGCAAAAAATATTATCTTAGTTTTGCTGTTTTATTTTAATACAAAACAGCGAATGTACTTATTCTTACTGTTTATTATCTTAATAGCAAATCTAAGAATTTTCGAGTTATCCTGATGTCTTTATGTTATAATTTATATTCTCGGAACGCGAATGTCGCATCGCCAGGTAGATCCGCTGGCCATTATACATTCTTTACACCGGTCACAAAACACGACGCCAGTCAGAGCATACAGATTGAGTAAATATACAAATCATTCTTTGAACTATTATTGATACAACTTTAAAGTTACGAGATTACTATTATAAATATTAAGCAAAGTAAAAAATGACATCACGTCTAGAACAATCAAGAAATGGAGCCAGTTTTTTGTAATATCAAATATCAATGCACTAACGAAGACGAATATAAATAAGTGGATATAAATAAATAAAAAAATATAAGACCTTTATTAGTTTAGAGGTAGAATACACACAGATGGTCTGCAGTCAGGTAAATGTGTGTATTATTTAATCCTAACAATAAAATCGGACCAATAATAATTGTTATAAAAGTGAAAAAAAATTACGTAACCGATAACCTTTAAGAGAAATTCGTGATTAGCCAAAAAATAATAAAGAAACAAACTTTCTCAAATTAGTGAATAAAAACTCATCGAGCATAAAGTAAAATATTCGCTAAAATAACAGCAATTAAAGGCTTATTCAATTTCACGATTGGCCGTGAAACCATTCAAGTTAATTGAGTTTATCTGATGAAATGGATCGTTAGAACATTAATAGTATATTCAGTATATGTTTTTAATAATAAAATGCTTTATTACTAGCATAACTTGATAATTGTACCTTGTACCTATAGTTTGTTTTACGTTTAAATTTTTATGTTTAAAAATTACTATTCTTACTAACTTTAAACTCAAACAGACTATTTTGTTGATATATATTTTTTAATTACGATATAGGTACATAGAAATAGCTTCTAAGTTAATCTTTTAAGGTTACAAGTCAAGCTTATAATATTATAAGCCTATATGATTTATTGAATATATCCTACCTATTTAGTATTCTATTTAATATTACTCTTCTAAAAAAAAACCAAAACTGTGTACAATAATTTAAAAAAAAAGCAATAAATTATTAAGTGGTATTATATCTGTACCGTAATTAACCCTTAAAAATTATAGTCGTATTATAAATATAGGCATATTTAAGTTTAGATTATTGAAAGAATAATATTCTAGAAAAGATAAACTAAAAGCAATAAACAAAATATGAATCAATTTCTTACTAAAAAAAATCCTTTATAAAACAAGCACGTAAGCTCGCGAACTTACATTAAGTTCTGTTTGGAGTATTCCACATTGATAAGTCATTCCATGAGGTGTAATTATCAATAGTAAGTTAAAACACAGTCACAGTACAATATTTCACAACACTTTTAGTTCATTGGATTTAGGTGAAAGAACTACGAAATTAAAAAATATATTTAATATGACACGTACAGTTCTCACCGCGTTAATTTAAAGACTGCGCTTTGGTTACCAGCGCCAGGCGCTTACGGATGCGTCTGAGCAGGCTTCGAAGGAAAGTTCAACGACGCCTATGAACGTCGCCTATAATTCTAGGCTTATATTATTTATTTTCTTAATGACAATTTTTGCAGACTATATCCTTAAAAGTGAGCATTACCAAATCTATAAATATTGTTTGCAAAAGTGTAATATTATTTGTGACATTAGAATAGAACATTGAAGTAACTTCTTAAGAAAATATAATTAAGATTATTTATAGTTAATTACTACAAAATATTAAAATTATTTTTGTACTACTCAGTTTCACAGATAAGCATACATAGCATGAAGTAGATTCTTTTTAACTTATATATATTCATTATATTTCTCAAAATTAAAATTGTTTGTATGTACTATTTACTTTTAAGACAGGAAAATAATTTATAAAAGCGACAACACAAAACAAAAACCATTTTTATTTTACTGTTAAAGTTACTGGTTTATGATGTCAACTGTCAAACTGTGACTCGACAAATGTCAATATATTGTTCGATAAAGCTAGTAGCTTAATCGTGACTTTCATAATTCATTTCTCTACATAATCCCGTCTCATTAAATTTTTTATCAATTAGTGAACATTTTAAAAAACTCATCATGCCCAAAGTTTCAGGTTAGTTATGTATAATATTTATTTTCAGAAAGTTGCTTATTCATTCATAAAATTTAAGGTTATGATTGTTTCTTTATTTGACGATAGCAGAGATTTGTTTATTATAGCTTTAAAACATAACATGACCTGTACTATCCAAAACGTATTTCATTATATCCATGATTGTAACTTAAAATTAGTAAAGTTATATGTAGTCGTTTCAAAATGTCCATGTTTTTTTGTATACAAACGCCGGCTTTCTAAATATCGTGTTGTTACTACAGAAAACAAGTTAAGGTGACACATATAAAATGCAACTTTGTAACTAATCTGTCTGACACTAATAAAACTCGTTGCTACAAACCTTTTCGTGTTTTTTGTTACAGTTAAAGTAAAATGGGGTAAGGAGATGTATCCCGGTGTTGAAGTGAACACAGACGACGATCCCGTTTTGTTCAAAGCACAGATCTTTGCTCTCACAGGAGTTCAACCGGAAAGACAGAAAGTTGTATGCAAAGGGGTCACTCTCAGGGATGATGCTTGGGGAAACTTCAAATTAACAAATGTAATTAGTAATATATATAAATCAATCTAATTTTCACTTCGGATATATACAAAATCTAGCCTCATAATTCTTTAAATTTTAAATTCTTTAATTGATATATTTGTTATATATATTTTTAACAAAATACGTTTTATTTTAGAATGCTCTAGTTCTGGTAATGGGTAGTAAAGAGGAAGATGTGCCGGCTGCTCCCGTTGAACAGACACGATTTGTGGAAGACATGAATGAATCGGAATTAGCTACCGCTGTGAGTTAAAGTTTCTTTACACTTAGTTTTTATTACACAAAGTATTGGATTATCTAAGCAATTAAATTTATTGTGTATTACTTTAGAAATAGGTGAATTTTGAGCAAAAATAAGGAAATAAAATAAATATTTCTACAAAAATACTAACTTTATGAAATAAATATGTTATTATTTTACAGCTCGACCTCCCAGAAGGTCTCATCAACTTAGGAAACACATGCTATATGAACGCTACAGTACAATGTCTGAAGACTGTTCCTGAATTGAAAAATGCATTACTTAATTATGATCCAAGTAAGGGAACACCATACATTTATCATATAATAAGGTTTAAAATAATGAAATAAATATCTTTTAACAGCCGATAGTATGAAATCTTATTAGAATTTTATTATAGCTTACCACAAAATGTTAAAAAACATATTCATATAAGAAAATAGTTTAAAGATTAGAGCTAATAATGATATTAATAATATTTTTTTGGTCAACAGCATCAGGTGGAGGTACAGCGGGGGGTTTGACATCGGCTTTGAGCGAAACAATGAGGTCGCTGGAAGGTGGCGGGGCGGGGGCGTGTGCTGCGGCCGCGGCTCGGCTCCTACACGCTCTGCACGCCGCAGCGCCACGTCTGGCCGAGCGGGGAGCCGGCGGGCAACTGGCCCAGCAAGATGCATCGGAATGCTGGACTGAGATCATACGAGCTCTTAGTATGAGGCTGCAATCCACACCTGAAACTCACAGGTATTATGAATATCATACTAAGGTCTGATATTGTATGCGGTTTATAAGACAATAGTAAGGTGATCTATTAATTGTGTGTGTGTATGTGAGATGAGGTTGAATACTATGGTCATCGGAAATCATTTTAAATTGGATGGGGTCATAATTATATATATAAAAGGAGTTTTAAAGAACCTTGAATTACTTAATATTTATTGAATTAAGTTTAAGAGATGAATGTCTATATGTGAATGATGAAATAGGTAATTTTTAATATTTTTGAAAATTTATTTGGTCCTTTGACTATCAGAGAGTACAATCTTATATGTATATGGACTGCAAGTCATATAGAATGTCAATAAGTACAACCAAATAGGATGGAGGAGACTATATTAAAAGAAAATTTTTACACATGACTAAAGTTTCCTCTTTAAGGACACATCAATCCAAAACAGATCAAAATGTGTGTACAAATTTAGCAATGTTAGTATGTAAACCTGAGGTTACAGAAGTATTCTGAATGCATTTACAAAGCAAATTGATATGTGGTTGTGTGTTGGTCTATTTAATATGTTTATCTATATGTGTTTATGTATATGGCATATTATTAAAGACTGTTGATGTTTTGCATACAAAAACAAATACTCAAATATTGAAACTGACCAAGTTATTTATGTATACAAATAGAGCAATTTACATAATTATTTTTCAATGCTGATACACATTGAGATACAATTGTCTTATTACCCTTTATAATACAGTATTATTTTTAACAGGTAATTTTCTTGCATATCATGTCTTGGCACACAACCAAAACGAAAGAGTTGTTTTTTAAAAATCATTGTATTCAAATTTAGTCATTGTCACATGTATGGAAGTAAATTATTTTATTATTTGTTTTTATTATTAATTATTTATTTATAATCTGTGGATGCTGTTGAACTCATTTATCAGCCATAACCATTTCTGAATTTTTGTTTATAATAGATTAAAAATAAGTTTTATTTATATTATAATGTTTATACATTGAATTACTTAAAATTTCTTTCTACAAAATCAATATATGTATATTGATTTTATTAGTACATAAACTACTAAGCTCCTATAGACTTGAGACTATTTAATATTATTTTATTTAAACCAAATACAGTGTAAACTCTATATAACGACACTGAAGGGACCGTGCATTTTAGTGCGTTATAGAGAGTTGCCGTTAAATAGAAAGAAGAAAAATCAGAATTAGAAAAAGACAAAGTTTATTTCAGACTAGTGTTAGTACTTAAGTACATAAAAAAGAATGTTATTCGAACGCTATTGTGTATAGTCAGTTATTTTTGTTTGACGTCTTTTGCTGCACCAGTACTGTTGTTGTATTTTTTTAGTTATTTTATTCATATCTTGCTATATTGAGGCATCTTGGTGATAAAAGAAATAATTTTCCAGTAGTTTAGCTGCTTCCAAAGCTTCTTTAATGCTCGGCGGAGGCTCAGGCTCATCTGTCTCATCTTCTTTATCTTCTTGCTGTTGATCCTCAGTTTTTCTCACTGAATCTAAAATTTCTTTGTCTGTGAGTGAAGCCGTTGTAAGGAGGCATTCATCTACTTCCACGTAGGTTTCCAAAACCGTCGACACGTGTAAGCAATTTGTAATTGTAAACAAAAGAACGAATTTCTTAAAAAGTTCGGTATGCATGATAGGGACAGTCGAGTTTATTGCGGGCTAGGGTAACAAAGCGACAAAGGAACGTACACAGCTGCACAGTTTTTACTAATTTTAACAACTTAAAAGGTACTTTTTATTACTTAATTGTTGTCGTTATTGAGAGTGGGCGTGCCGCTATGTAGAGTGTTTCATTGTATGGTAAACAAACTAAACCAACCAAAGTCAGATGATTTCGACGCTTTAGAGAGTTTGTCGTTAAATCGAGTGTCGTTATATAGAGTTTACACTGTATTTATATTTATAGCAAGCCATTGATAGAGCAGTACTTCGGTGGTACTCTGGATGTAGAGTTAGTATGCAGTGAGGCTGACGAGCCACCAACACGTTCTACGGAGACATTCCTACAACTCTCCTGCTTCATATCACAGGATGTCAAATATCTACAGTCCGGACTCAGATCTGTGAGTATAGATATATATTAAATAAAATTAATATAGAAATTATACTATATAGTATGAAAAATTCATTGAGCCAATAGGATTCATACCCATTACCGCCAAAATATTCTCTTTTTTGCTTTTAGACTAAAAATTTATGTAAGAATTTCAATGAAATTACATCATTTATTATTTTAAGTTGGCATCAAGTTTATTTTTTATACTGTACACACTATGGTTTATGCTTACTGTGGTGGTTTAAAAATTAACAGTTGATGTTCTTTTCTGTTTTCTAATTAATAAAACATTTTCGCTACATATAACAGGAATAGTTTTTTATCTCATCACTTTGTCGAGTTCTAGTTTATCATTGTTTTTATGTTGCAAAATAGAATTTATATAAAAGAATATAGCTTAAAGGTGAATCACATAAAAAGCCTTAGCAATTAGTAAATAATGTTTAAATCTTTAGGAAATTTGCAGTAAGATTTTGTCTTATATGTGTGTTTTGTAATCAGTTTATTCAGTTTACAAAGTAATTGTCATATACCTATATTATTATTTTTTTCAGAAAATGTCTGAGCAAATTACAAAAATGTCAGAAACATTGGGAAGGGATGCTGTTTACACAAAAACTGTGAGTGATATTGTTTTTAACTGGGATTTTGCCTCAACTATTTAGAAATTTTGTTAATAAAAGTAGCACTGTATTATTCCATAATTGAATGTAAGTTACCACATACATACTATAATGTAAAAACGGTCAATAGTCTCATCTTAAAATCGAAAAAATCAAAGATACAAAGTCTACCTCTTTCATTATATCAATAGCATACTTGAATTATATAACATTAATATTGATATGTAAAATTATATATTTCCAGAGCAAGATCAGTCGCTTACCCGCCTACTTGACGGTTCAGTTCGTGAGGTTCTACTATAAAGAGAAGGAGTCCATCAATGCCAAAATTCTCAAAGATGTCAAATTTCCCCTCGAGCTCGATGTTTATGAACTCTGCTCTACAGAACTACAAGAGCGTCTCACTCCGATGAGGACCAAGTTTAAGGTGAAATAAAACTAATGGCTTCTCTCTGTAAAGATATTTTATATTATACTAGTTTTTGCCCGCGACTTTGTCCGCCTGAATATGTCACAGGATGAAATTAATAGTGTGTTAAAACAATAGATATGGTAACGTTAAATACATTTATAGTGCCAAGGATCACTGTGTCACGTGACGTCATACATAATACAATTGTTAGAAAAATAAAAAGTAAACATAATTGAATTTCATGGTATTCCGTTTCCTACAAAATAAATTTTACTTATACTTTATGGTTTTATATTGTATCTTATATGACACGTTAGGTTTATACATACATAGCGGCGCCATTTATTGGTTATTTACTAAATCCAGTGAAAAGATATCGCCATCTGTTAAAATTATTTGGGGTTATGAGATCACTGATCAAATAGCAGACAAATCATTTGCAATAAAATAATATTGCTGCTATAAATAAAGATATAAGCTATCCTATGTTTCAAGTTGACTCAAATTGCATATGGTGTGCAAAATTTAATTTAAAATCGGTTAAATAATTTAGGAGTCCATCGCGGACAAAGAATGTGACACGTGAATTATATGTATATATATACATATAATTCATATATACATATATATATAAAAGATTATAAAAATGTATGTATGTTTGCAAGTAGGAACTCGAGGAAGCGTCAGTGGAGGCGGCTTTGAGCTCCAAGAATAAAAATCACGGAGACAGCAAAAAGGAAATCAAGAGGAAGGCGACGCTGCCGTACTGGTTCGAGAATGGTTAGTATTGAAATATCTATTATAAATACATATTTAATATTAAGACCCGCTTAGGCAATAACACGCTGTATGAGTTATTGTGCACCTCTTTACACAACAAACCTTTTTTGAACTGTAACTAAATAATTCGGACGAATTGCAAAGTTACTCATTCGCTAGCGAACGACTTGTTCGTTAGACTTTTATTAGTGCACCATAACAACATGTTGGACTGACATGTTCAATGTATTTCATACAGCAATATAATCATCCATAAATATGTTATAAGCCTGTTGTATGTACTCTGTAAATCATTTATTTATTTTAAAAACTACATATTCCGACGTTTCGTTTACTTTGCATCTCGTCTTTGTGGTTACGGTCGCTGCAAACTAACCGAAACGTCAGAGTATGTAGTTTTTAGAAAGAATAAAATACACGTTGTAATTCGAATTCATTAATTTATTCTTGTATATTTATTGATTCATTCGTGTTGTGTTGCAACTAGTATAAACCAAACATATAAATTGTCTTAATTGTCTATTTCACAATATGTCAATCTGATTGTATTATAATCCCTTCTGTCAACTGTTTTTCACTGTGAGGTATCATATTAATAAATTTCTGTCGTCGTCGTCATCAGTCTATCAGCGCCCACTGCTGAGCAAGGGCTCTTTCTCACATGGAGAAGGTTTGAGCATTAATCACCACGCTTGCTCAAGACGGGTTTGTGATTTCAAACTTATAATTGTGAAACTATAAGTCCAGGTTTCCTCATGACGTTTTCCTTCACCGTATGTCAGTGATGTCTAAATACTCTCAGGAAGTACATATCACTCGGAAAAATTACATTGGTACTTGCCAAGGTTTGAACCCGCGCCCTCGGCAACGAGAGCCCCTTAACCACTAGGCCACCACTGACTTGAATCTTGTGAAATCTCTGTATATCAATGTAATCCATTATTAGTAATGCGTCATTTATTCGTGTTTTATAGACGTTGGCAGCAACAACAGCGGCTACTACCGTCTCCAGGCTGTGTTGACTCATCGCGGCCGTTCGTCCTCGTCGGGTCACTACGTGGCGTGGGTGGCGCGCGGGGACGGCTGGCTGAGGTGTGATGACGACGCTGTGACACCAGTCACCGAGGAGGAGGTGCTCAAACTGAGCGGGGGAGGTGAGCTCTCGCACACACACACACACACGCACACTAGGATACACGCATAGTCAGTGGTGGCCTATTCGGTTTCAATTAGAATTTAGGTCTTAGATTGAAACATCTAAAAAGGCTTAACAGACATTCTTAGTCAGACGAATTTAATACAATTCAATATCCATACTTTTCATATGAAGTTATTATCCCTACTAATATTATAAATGCGAATGTAACTGTTTGTGTGTCTGTTACGCTTTCACGCCTAAACCACTGAACTGATTTTAATGAAATTTGGTACAGACATAGAGTTGACCTTGAGAAAGAATATAGGATAGCTTTTATCCCAGACTTTTGAAAGGTTCTCTTGGAAACCGATATAACCGAACTCCACGCAGGTGCGGGTGGAAAGCTGGTTAGTAATATATTAATAATAATATATAATTATTTTAATTTATCCATTGTTATTTCCAGGTGACTGGCACTGCGCGTATCTCCTATTATACGGACCTAAGATCCTGGAGTTATCTCAAGAAGAAGAGAGTCCTGAACCGATGATTACAGACGACGCTTCCGGACCCGACCCGCCAACAGCGCTCGCGTAAAAAGAATGCATTAGGAATGAGCGATCAAGACTTCATTTAACATATATAGAATTGATATGAAACATTAGGAATTAAACATACGTCTCGCTATATATAATTGGTTTAAATTATTCTTATTTGCAATACTAGTGTATAATGAAGCGTTTGTGAGGCCTAATTATGTTATGTCTATGATTCAGACAAAAAATAATGTTCAATAAATACATATGTCATCAATTACGTAAACTTATTTGAATTTGTATCTCGTGTTTTTATATCGACGGTTAGTAAAAGTCATCAAACAACTGTAGATTTTGCATTTTTTATAATTAATTTCTCAGCGTAAATAAATATTTAATATTAAATGCGTAGTTATAATGATGTTACTCACTCATTCCTAAATTAAATGTAATCTTCATAGTAAGTGTTGCCAGTCCGAGCTATTTATTTAATTACGAGGCATAGACAACGCTAATGTTAATGTCCAACGCTTCTATTAAGCATTTCTTGATATCTAAGTTCTGTGTACTAATGTATTGAATTTACTAAGACTAAATGTAATAAATGATGAAAATTTTATATTCTTGTTTTATTTGTATTAAAAAAAATGGTAATAAATAATCTGATATATTGGAACGTCAGAACTGTCAAGAAAAATAAATATGGATGATACTCCACCGACAAAGTTTTTCTTTGAGAAATTAGACAAGTATTTGTCATGTTTTCTTCAATATTTTTGTCCATTTCTGTACCGTTTAATTTTCTCAAAATACGAAGAGTATAAACTGCTCAAAGTTATACTATCCTTTATAGCCGGGTTTGCTTTGGGGCAGATGTATTTTTTATATCTCTTTAAAGATATATCTTCACTGTGTGACTATGGATATTATATAAGTTTGTTTATTAGTATACTTCTAGGTAAGTATGTCTTCTACACAAAATATTCTTACTTCCAAGTAATTAAGCTTGTACAATATTTTCAAGGTGTAAGTAATGCAGTTTTAATACAAGTTCGTTGTATACTATGTCTACTTCTGCCGATGTATTGCGGGAAATCCGGGAGAGGAGTATTAAAAGCGGTTGTCCTTTCTTACGTTGTTGCTGGTAAAAAATACTATTAATATTAAAGCACGTATGTAGTTTCTTTTATTTAGCTTTAACTTAACAGGACCAATAAGAAACATGGGACTCAATGCCAAAGAAGTTGTTCGAGTTTTTGCTTGCAGCAAGGAATTATCGTTTAATCTATCAAAAATTAGACATAATCAGTTATACAGACCTCTAAACAAAGCTCTTGTCAGTTTTAAAAAGGAAGTTGAAGATATAAAAGGTGCTATGAGGTAGATAATTATAATATTATCAGTTTAACTTTCGGCATAACAACATTTCGTTCGCCATTGACTTTGACCCAATATATTTCGTGACCTACAACAGGTCGTATGATTATTAATCGATACAATTTTATCAATATAGGTAATTAATATAAAAAGTAGATAAATATAATAATATATAATCATGTTCTTTAGTTCCATCCGCGAAGTCATATTTCCAATAGAATATGAAATTGAAGGAATGGCGTATTTAGATTTAATGGAAGCTGATGTGAAATTTACGAACGCATTATTTAATTATAGTATCCACATAAATAACCCAAGAACATCATATACGTAAGAAATGTATGTAACGATTATTAATACATAAAATTAACGTCATAGTAAATCTTCAATAATTAATTCTAGAATAATAAATGAAACTGAAAGTAATCAAGATAAATATGTTAAGAAAATGTATTATCGCTGTGAGTATCAGTTGTCGCATGCGATATCGATGTGCCTAAAAATGTTTTCTTCAATACGCGATGCATGTGTGGAAAGTTTGCCACAATCAACAGTTATGCTTTGTTGGTCGCTAATGTTACCGCGGGCATGCGATTTGAAGAGAATTGGTGATTTGTGTAATGCTAAAAGAGAAGTAAACATTGTTTTAGAAATCGTATTAATCTTTAGGGAAGTCTAATTATAATTATACATATTTGCTTTGTACATCAGATAGATCCGGGTTTGGGAGAAGGTTACACTTATCTCAAAAAAGCTGGAGAATTTTTAAATAAGGGTTTAAAAAATATTCATTTGCAAACTAAAGTAACTTATATTCGGGACCTCTATGACATTCAGGTCTGTATTTCTTATATGAGGAAGTAATTTAACTCTACTGATCGAAATATCAGTGTATAAAATATTTTAGGACGCGAAAGAAACCGGCGATCGTGTGCTTCATGCGTTTAAAGAAAAGTACGTTGCAATAGAATCACTTATAATTATTGTAAACTTTTTCCTCGCACTTCTGTTCATAAGAATTTTGATAGCTGCTTACTCTTACCACGAACACTACCTCACTGCAATAGACTTCGATAACGTCTATATAACCAATTACTTCAAAAAAATCGATGAGAAAAGGGAAAAGAAAAAGGAATTATATCTTTTACCTTTAAACAAGGTAATTGTAACAGTTATATATTTTCTTTATTAATTTGTAAGCGCTATTTCTCATAGTTTAATTATTGCCGGTAGATGGAGAGAAACAGATATATAGATGCCTATTCAACTTCTTACCTCCAAGAAGAAAGAAGTAAACTTCTAACTCAAATCCTTAAAGTCATGTTGGAAGCAATAACCGCAACAACTTTTGTAATGCTCGACAGATTGTTTTTTGAGGCAATGGACGTTGTAAAACAACATGCTTTGGAAAAATATTTAATCGATTTGCAAGATATTCAAATCAAGGTTTATTTAAATTTATATAATCTTAAGATTTATCTACGACAAAATTATAATGTAGATTTTAAAAGCATAGATCCTTTTATAGGCTAAAGGTACGGGTACTTTATCAAACATGATGAAAAAAATTCTAGAAGAATTAAGCTTAATAAAGAACATAAAAATGACGTCTCAGGACATTTGTATTCCTCATCCACGTTCGATGCCGCCAATTTATTACGTTAAAATATACGCAGGCTACCTTTGGATCCTACTTTTATTGTACATAAATCCTTACACACTAAGGCTACGTCGGTAATTGTTTCTTTAACTTATTAAACTCATTGGTTAGAAAAGAAATAAGTTTTAAGGTAATTTTTCTGCTTTCCGTCAGACTAATATGCAGTTACTTTTACCCAGAAAGAGAAAAGAGACGTATTTTGCATCTTTATAACGATATATTAAAGAAGCGTATGAAAATTCAGAAAACGCTACGTAGGAAAGCTGTTCAGACAGTTCGCGCTCATTACTTATCGGGAGAAAACCTCTTAAGCTTGAGGATCAGGTATCCTAATCTGCTGGGATGGCTCGTGGTTTTTCCCGCAGCTAGAATGAAGTGCTTAATCTGTGAGGAAACACAACCCAGGAGAAGTGAAGTTAAATGTAAGTTACTAACAGAATTGAAAATCGACCTAGTTTATAACTTTATTATAAGTAACAGACATAATTACATCACACAAAAATTCGTTTAAATACGATTTTCAACACATAGAATATCATTTAAGAACAAGCAGGGTATAACATACACTGTAGGGTCGTACATTGTGTCAAGTAAAAAAAAGTTTTTTTTCCCTATATCTAATTATCAGCTCAGTGGCAAAAGTGCAACAACCCTCTCTGCCCGTTCGTTCTCTGCGGTGAGTGTACCGCGGATGCGGGCGGCTGCTTGGCCTGCGACCCCGCGCTAGCTTTGCTCAGTGATATTGATTCGCTCAGCGACGAACCCCCAAGAAGGTATTGATCGTGTTTAACAGTTGAGCATCGGTTTATTAGGGCATGACAGCTAGGTTTCCCTTTGTTTGACATGTTACACTTGGGAATATTAGTAATACAGATGCCGAACTTAATTTTTGTTTAGACACCACAGACTTAAATAAATTTCAATTAGTTCATATACAAAATTGTACTCTGTTTTATGAATCATAGTTGTAAAGCTAAGTAATAAAAGATTGCTTATATAATGTATTTTATTAAAACAGACCATACTCCAATTGTTCGCCGACAGTAAGGTTGCTGACGAACTGTATATTGTCAGCTACTTCGTTGCATAGCTTGGCTATCCCTGACAGTTCACCGTCTATTTGGGGGCTAAAGTTGTAGAGCAACTATAAAAAATACAGTTTATGTGATTGATTATCGAATAAAGATCTGGTTGAAGTATATTTAAATGACGTTTAGGTAACGAAATTTATGGTGATTTTTTTTTGTTTTGGACTCAAGATGCCTGAAATAATAATCTCACCGCCAAAAATTCGTCATATGTAATCCATCCGTCGGTGTCTGTGTCTGCTTCATTGAACTTCTGTTTTCTGGTTTCCATCGAAGTTTCATCTCCTAGACTCTCTAATACCGCACAGCTATCAAAAAAATCATAGAAAATTAACATTTTAATCGCTCAGCTTTATGAGTCCTATAGGTAGAGGCTTAAACATTCAAGAGTTTTAATTTGTAGGAATTTGAAATGTTTTTTACTACATATTTTTATTATTTTATCCACACTTTACCGAAAGGTTTCATCAAGCAAATTGGTATTATAAACAGGAACGCTATAAAGTGAAACTCTATTATGAATGATCCTATGAATAAAAAAACAATTATTGTATAGAAATTAGCACCTAAACTACTTGAAATATATGAAGAAAATATTATGATTCGTATCGAAATAGAGCATTTTAAAATACATATATCTATTTTTCGAAATTTCTTTTTTAGAAATCGTTGATAAATGAGTGTTAAATCTTTATAACGTACATATTACAATCATCAGACCAGTAGTATCTACAAATGATACTTATCCAACGAATTATCCTGAATGAATTACCCTGATTTGCCAAGTAAGTAAAGCTCACGTATGTTTGATGAAATATAAAAATGCAAGTCAAATAAAAACTAACTAACAGGTCATCAAAACCGAGCATTCCGTTTGATTGATTGTCAAAGAGGAGAAATAAACTATGAAGATTTGCGATGGTAACTTCGTTCCATCCTGGGAAGCGACGGACAACTTTCTGCATACTCGAGCGACGATCTTGTTCTTTCATTTCCTACCAACATGACAATTCTATTACGTAATGGTCCACAAACTCTAGAAGGTTCTCATAATATTTTTGCTAACTAGATGTAATTCGTTCAACAGTTTAGAAATCTATATAGTTTTCAGTTATAGGACTAGATTTACTACAGATCTTACAAAATTGGACTTCCTAAATGTTATAGTACCTAATTAAATTTCTCAAGAATATGTTATTGTTAAATTCAAAATCAATACCCACTTGGTTATACTGTCGTTGCTCTGCAAGTCTTTTGTAAAACTGATCCACAAGTATATCGTAATCAGTCATCATTCCTTTATGAACTTCAGACACCTTTCTTTGAGGTTCACCTAACATTTATATAGCAACGTATTAAGACCTAATATTATAATAGATATAAGCTAAGCTTTTATTTCCACATACCAGTAGCTGTGAAGTCTTCTTGTCTATAGAAACATATTGGTTTACGTTTTACAGGATATTCGAAAAATCTTCCCAAGCCAGAGATGAGAGCGCTTACATAGTGACCCATTAGTAATATTTTAAGAAAATTTAACTTTTATCATAACTTTAATTACAAATTATGTATTTTTTTATGTCATCACTTGACAAGCTTATATGTCAGGTAAAGTTATTTAATCTAGTAGTTTTTTTTAAATACATAATTATAGGTATATTGACTTTTTAGTAATTTACGTGAATTTGTTCTTTCTTATTTGAAATGGAATAAAGTAATAGTAGGTTATAGATTTTACATTAAGTTATATTTCAAAAAACTGTTATATCTAATTGAATTTCAAGTGAAAAAAAATCTTTAAATTGTCATAGAATTAAATAAAGAAAGGATTTAAGGCAGTAAATAAAACACCATTTTCTATCAATCACTTGATTAATTTTCATACAAAATTCCATTAAAAATTTCAAAAAATTCATGACATATATAGCGTCATGCACAATTAATAAGATTACAAGAATCAAAGTAATTATTAATTACCGAAAGGATAAAAATAATGTAAATGAAATATGGTATGCAGTAAATTATTCTAAATTAAAATATAGGAACATTTATAAAATATCAGTCTTCTTTCAACAATATTACGAAATGTAACATAAGATATGAATATTAAAAAAAAAAGAGAAAAAAGACTGTTGTCGACATTTTTTCTTTGCAACAGAAGCCGTTGTAGGTACTTCGAAATCGCATGGATATTTGGACGCTATTAAATTATACAGAAAAAAATGGGTCAGGTTTTAAGAGTTCTGCTTATTCTAGTAGACAACAGACTTCTTAAGCGGTGATCAGACCACCATCGCATTAATTCCAATCAGTCTTTAATGTATTACAAGTGAGGTAGATGCGGTTACTTAAACTTTGAACACAACTAAACACCAATATGAAGAAGTCACTGGCGGAGATCGCTTTCACGACGGAAATGACCTTGACGCTCGTCAGATCGAAATTTGGGAGCCAATTTTTTTTTCCTGAGATAAAAATGACTTCTAACACATTGGCCCTCGCTAGAGAACAGATGGCAACCACGCATCTGATTCGTTCGCGAGGCTACAATAAACTACTAGCTAGCTACACATAGACGACGCATTCATCACCCCTTAGAACATTACGTACTTTTAGAATGATCATTGTTTTGTATAATTTCTATTACAGTTTTATGTAACTAATCATGCAACATACTGGTTGTATCAATCACTACACACTACATATGTAAGGGAGGATGAATGTCAATTACACTAGACTAACACAACACAAGCGCTAGTTAACATTTAAAATAGCACAAATAGAATGGCTCAAATACAAATTTCGCTAGAAATCTCTTACAAATGTATTACTTATTATGCAGTTTCTTACATCGCGTCCCACTCGCGACCCTAGCAGGTATCTACCTCATATTATTTTTTACAAGGAAACAGCTGTAACTTTCCTTCTTCATATAAATTACATCCAATGTTAAAAAACTTGTACAAAATTATCATCACGATTCAATAGTTAGTTGTCAATTATATTGTACCTAACACAATACTACAATTTTATTGCTAGCAACTAGCAGATTTCACATAGTACATCGTTTACTGGCGATCATATCTCTTGACTCGTGATTATATCAAAAAACATTATGCATGCAATGAAAGATTTTGGCTCACTTTTATAAAGTGGTGGCGTTAGGTTGGCTACCTACTACATATACAAGCGTTGTTATAAAACTCATGACGGATGTTGTTCAATAAGTAGACAACCTACAAAAAACACAGTGTACCACTAAACCAAGCAACAAAATAAATCTAATAAACATAACTAAATCATACCGAATCTAATGCGGTTCCAAATTAAGTAAAACTTTAAGCCGCTTACAGCCAACTTAATGAAAAGGTGACCCAGAATTACTGTCATCTAGAGACATGCCAGATCTATAGCCGGGTGAAGTGTTGTGGGCTCGTTAACTTATTGTGGATTCACGTTTGATTTGAGATGCCAATGAGGCGATATCTTTGTCATGTCTATAGAGAGTACAAGGATGCTGGCTGTGTATCGGGACTGGTAACGTTCTAATCGTTAGAAGATCTGGTTAAAAAACAAATTTTGCTTGCTATGCTTTGCAAAACCTTCATAAATTTTTATGTTAGACAAAATATTGACTCTGAGATTCGTCATTATATTTTAAAAAAATAATCGTCGTTCTGATTGGACTATATTAAAAATTTTGAAATTTCACGACGAAATGCATTTAATGCAACACATTATTTTAAAAATAACATAATACTTTATATAAAAAAAAATAATAATAATGGCACCGAACAGAAAATAAATTTACAAAAAAAATATCGATATGAAATCAATAAAGGTAACGCTGAAATTATTAGACAGTCAAGATTTAAGAGGCGAACAACTGCACTACGAACACTAATGAAGTCGAATTTCTCTAATATTATCATCAAATTTGAAAGCCTACGTTAATGCTTCTACTTAAATATACTACTAACTAGATGAGTGCTAGTTTGGAAATGCGATCTGGTTCAACATCATTGAGGACGCCTGCCAAATAACACGATGACCAAGGATTAGGAGACATCAGCTTCCCATACTTAATTACTGTTAAATTAATTATCTTATCAATATTTCTGCAGTCATATAAAATCAGTTCATTTATCTAATTCTAATTTTAATGTACTGTGAAAGTTAACATTTTTTTTTTCATCATTAATGTGAAAATAGCGCAGCACTAAGAAATCACTTATGATAATCGAGTAATTCTTCCAAACACTTAACACTAAATTAACCTAAGTACATTATAGTGTAAAAACTTTTATCTAACCATACCATAACTTATTACATTCTCAGTACAAATTATGCATTTATTTGATAAAAAAAAAAGTATGCTTCAGCGGCAAAACTTTACAAGCTAAAAACTATAATAATATTTTTTTTCTGTATACTGTTTATAAATGTATATCGGTGATAAATTTATTAATACAATAATGTTTATAACGTGATGCATAAGAAGCATTTAATAGACGATTATATCTGTTAATAGCGAGAGCTTATCAATATGAAATAACTTTGGTACTATTAAATTTTTATATGGTTAAATGTCCATCTACACGCGACGAACGGTATCTATAGCTACACTAATTATACGGGTATTAGTGAAATGTCCCTAGGGATTATATTTGGGCCAAGATATCATATAATGTTAACCATTAATATATTAGGATAAGCTGATAATACGGATCAATAATGCACGCAAAAATTTAACATATAAAGTTCATGTATTACATCGGAACCTACCATCAACCTACAAGTTGATAGGCTATCGTACCGCCCGGCCCGAACCACACTAAACCTATATTAAATATTGAACACATATTGACTGAACACAGTGTATTAAATCTAAAACAGTCGGCGTAACGACACATTTAAAAAATATACTATGCGCTTATTCAATACACATTCCGAAAAAACAATTTAGCTAAAATATTTGGACTAACATAAATTTTGACTGTATAAAAGTTTAAGTTTAATTATCTAATTAATAGCAAAAATCAATCGTTATGTAGAAGAATATCTATAAATTAGCTAATTTTTTAAACAAATTACGCGTCATAACGACTTGAATAAGTAGAAGATACAATAGTAAGATCCTATATCTCATCCGGAGATTACTTTTCACGTTCACAAGTCGAGGAACATCAACGATATTAGTTATCAAAAATAATTCAGAGGGACGAATAACGAAAAAAAAATTATCTCACAATAAATACATTACAAAATATATATACCTAACGTCAATTTATCTGATTGGATAAAATTGCCAAAAAAAAGTCAAAATTAAACGAACTAATAAACAATTAAAATAAAAAATAATAAAAAAAAGCTTTGTTCAATCGTAACGTCGATCCGTGACTAAACCCGCCCGCTTCGGAACCACGTCTTTAAGACAGTCTTCTTAAGTCAGTCTCCAAGTTTATTGCATTAATTTTCTTAGCTCTGTTACCTTACCCCTCCCCACGACACGAGTAAAAAATTAAAATAAAATTCTAACAAAGCAAGAGCTACGAACTAATTATTCTATTCAATATTATCGGCGTAGGGCCATCATATTCATTGAAATACATAAAATATATCTAAATCAATAAGCAAAATAACTTAATATAAGAATACGTATTAACGTGTGCATTAACCAATTATTTAACTAAGTTAAAACGCGAAAGTAACATTTAGAAAAAAAAAACTTTTCAAGCTAATTTTAAATTATCTCACATAAAACATCTTTTAAATCACATTGTGATCTTGTTATTTTAAATATTATGGAGGATCTTCATCATTAAATATGAGAAGCATATAAAGAGACTGATCCCGATGACGAAATCCGGAAAGTTAATGAAAAAATGTTAGTACACACAATGATTATGTTATGGCGAGATAAGACTGCGAAATAATGTTTGGCCTTTAAAGACTAGTACCAAACGAAACCAAAATCTGTTATAAAAGTGGTAACGAAGGTTATTTTTGAAGATATTAAGGAGACATTGATTTGTTCATTATCATGAGCAACCGACACATCTCCGCACAAGCTATGCTCGATTCAGTTTCACCAAACATTAATAATAAAATTGGCACAACATGAAATTAATTACAACTTAAACAAAACATAAATAAAATTTGATGAGCCCACGGCCCATGTCGTAAGGCTTCGATTGGTTCGTTACAAAAATCAGTATACTTTTATATATTGCTTGCCGTGAGAAGTGATATCGCGGGCGGTGTCAGGTAGTGTCTCGAACAACACAACTAGGAAACCTTCCGGAGTTAACGCGACATCGCTCGGGCGATCCTTATCGTCGAGACCCGGACTCTTTAAATCTACAGCCCATAATATACGTAGTTCCGATGTGAACACTAGAACACGGTGATTTTTCGAATCAGCTACAATTATTCGGCCATCGTCGTCGGTCACGATGCCGGAGGGACGATTTAACTCACCGATGCCCGAACCTTCCCGACCGACACAATGTAATACCTTGGATAACGTTGGGTCTACCATGAGCAAACGATGGTTTTCAAAATCTGACACTATAATGTTACCCGAAGTCGTAAAGCAAACACCGCGTGGAGTAGTTGGACCTTTAAGCATTTTAGCGGGGTTAGCCCCTTCGAAAACAAACTTGGTAATATAAGTACCATCACTTGTAAACAATTGAATGCGATGATTGCGAGTATCCGTAACAACAATGTTACCCAAAGTATTAACAGCTACATCCCATGGGTATTGAAACTGACCGCACTCCTTACCGAAAGATCCAAACTTCAATATAAAATTACCGGACGATGTGAATATTTGAACCCTATGGTTGTCTTTGTCTATAACAATAATACGTCCATACGTGTCTGTGGTGATGCCTGCTGGTAAGTCAAACTCTCCCGGTCCGATTCCTTTAGAGCCAAACATTGTTCTAAACTCTCCGCGGCTGTTGAAGATCTGTATGCGGTTGTTTCTTCTGTCTGCAACGATTATATTTCCTTCTCTGTCCACACACAAACCCCAAGGTCTAGATACTTGACCTTCGTCTTGACCTTCTCTTCCGAATGAAAACATTGGAACGCCAGAAACAGGGCTCCTGGTCGGTTTCACGGACACTGACATCCAATATCCTGGTATTGCTTGCCCGATACCACGTGCTGGGTTCGAATCTATAGAAGCTATGCTGGATGAGATGCTATGATCGTAGTAGTTAGTAGATCTAGTGTGGCTAGTGTAATCTGGCAAGGATCTCAGACTATTGTTGGCTGACATTTGATAAGACAGTGGAGGAAACGTCTGTGCTGACTGCAAAGAATGAAGCAGAGATTGTCGGGATTGCAGCGAGGATGAAGAATTGAGAGAATGCATTGAATTTGCAGGGGCAGACTGCACGTCACATTGTCTTTTGATTTGATCAACTAAATCATAATTTGGTGGTATAAACATAATGCGCTCTTCGGTTATGTACATATTTTTAAACATACATGAGAAATAATCAACTTGAGCTCTTCCTTTTTCTTTTGCCATAAATAAATCAATACCTTCAGAATCCATACTGCGGACTAGAGTTTCATTAGTATGAGCCAGTCCTGCAAGAATTCCTCTAAGTGTATTCATATGATCAGTTAGTTCGTTCATTTTTGCTTGACGCATTTTCTCCACTTTATCCAACAAATACTTTTCGCGATCTTCAATCGCCTGGGCGAAGCAACGCATAGCTTTACGTATTTTCATATTAGCTTCAGCTGTTTCTTTCTCATAAGCCTTCGACATTGCCACGGCACGATCGATTGCCGTTTTTATTGCTTTCGTGCCAGTTTTAGTATCTTCAATAGCCCTGAATACACCAATTCTGCACATGTCGAGGGCGCCTTTGATGGGTGAATAGCAGTGATCTTTATGTACCCATAGAGTACACTCTTGACATATGAAAATGATGCATGCTTCACAGTAGAATCTAACTGGATCGCCATGAAGCTCACAAAACATTATCTCTTTATCATTAGTAACAGAGTTTGGTCTGACTCCGATTGGCGATATTTGATGTATAGGCAGCAGGGTGTGTTCCCGCAACTGACAGTCAGATGTAACTTTGTGACAGCATTCGTGGCAAAACAGATCGTTGCATTCCAAGCATCGGGTAGTCGGAGTACGTTCCTCGCAACGGAAGCAAGTAATGGAAACCGACGAAGATGTGCCCGGTGATCCGCTAGAGTTATCCTCCTTGCCGTGGTTTTGGTTATTATTATTAGAAGCGCTGTACTCACGGGAGTTGGACGTTGTGTTCATTGAACTGCATGAAGGTAGAGCCCAGATGTCATAAGGCATGGTTGATGATGATGAAGATCCAACTGGTTGTAGGGGAGGTTTGTTCATGTTCTCAAGTAAATTGCAGATGATGTGTGACATGGCCAGCGGATCCTCGGGTTCGTTGGAGCTGTGGCTGGAGCCAGCCGCCGTGGATGTGGCCGGCAGGCTCGCTGCCAAGGACTGCGTCATGTTAGCAAACGACGTCATTATGACGCGCACGTCAACTCATTAGATCTGTAACAACAGAAATACACTATTTAGAATCATTATTTCTTATTTATAATACCTTTGATATATTGAGATTAAAAGAGTTTTTGTTAAAAAAACTATCCACACTTATTAGTAAACAAAAATATTTTTACAAGTAAATAATTATATAATATTTCAATTATAAAGCGTCTCTCGTAAATTATATGAAACAATAATTTCACACTAATGTTTTACGAGGAATATGTTTAAAATAAAATTAAATGAAAAGAAAAAACAAAGACTTATTGAGTTAGTACGTTTTTATGTAGACGTTGAGAGTTTATTTATATTGAAAGCAAGTTTTATGAAACAACTATATATATGATTAGAGAGAACAAAAACTGTCTCTACATGACCACACGTAAACTTAACATCACAATAATAGCAACACATTCTTTATATCACTGATAAACACATCGACTCCTATCAATAGTATTAAATATAGAAAAATATTTACTCACAACTAGCATAACATAGCACAGATTATTAAAAAAAATGTCACAGAATTATGAATTAATAGATCAATAAACAAACTGAGAAATACACTGGAACATAACAAAATATATGCTCTAGCTGTACGTACTGTTCCACTGGTATTGGGGTGCTCGAAATGGTGCAGTTTGCGAAAAAAATCTATCCCAAAAACTTTTGTGCTCCCTACCACCAACCCTCATGTTACTAGGTAAGAACGTAGAGCGAGACAGATATATACGATTATAACGTGAGGGAGAAAGACTACCGACACGGCACATTCCAAAATTTTCCATAATTTAGATAAAAGAGGTTTGCTATGATTAGGGCTGGCCCTTATTATCTACAAACTCAGCTTCCTGGAATGCACGATATTGTGTTTACGTAATGAGTTTAATTGTTGATGTCGTTAAACCATTTGAGCGGAATTTTATTGTTATATACATTGTAATAAAACTTGTATTCGCTTAAGAACAGTATTAAACAATTAAGTATAGACTTTTCAAGATAACATACGACATGTGATACAAATAATAATTCGGTAGTAATTTAAATTGTAATTGTCAACCCTATTGTAAATCAGTATCGAGTGTTATTGTGTGTGTGTCTGTGTGTCTGTGTGTGTCTGTGTGTGTGGGTGTGAGAGGGACAGTAGTTTGTGTTATAGTGATGCTGTATTTCGGTCGTAGAGACGCACATGTCGTTCATGACCTTGGGAGTGCGAGAGCGCTTGAGGCAGGTCCGGGACCCTACCGCCATCTTGCCGCGCCCCCGCTACAACAAGAAGGGTGACGAAAATCGATGCCTTCCCTAGCCGGCTATATCCCGAAGGGCGCAACCATGGCTACACATCCCTACCATTAATGCGATATCTAAACACGAATTTTGGAATAGAATTTTCACTCCTCTGTTATATTCGAGAATAATATTTCAAACTAGAAGCTTTCGCCGCATCGTGGTGATTTCGCAGAGAAAAAATACACAGCCAGTTCTATTTACGGCACACATCTACCTGATCTCGAAAGCGTTACATATTTTTTATGACATTCGTATTGTTACATTAAACTTCGTATCTGCAGGTAGAAATTTTGTACGAATTCGTGGAAATAATGCTTACGGTGCTATTGAATGAGGACAATATAATGCACCTTAAAAATCTTATCTTAATCTGACAATTGGACAGATGCTTTAGATTTAAATACACCTGAATACATACACAATATAACTAGTATAGTATTATTATCTAGAAGAGAAAATATTAAATAAACAAATGACTATCAAAACTAATTAACTAAGTTGATCTAATTAAAATATTCGTTAAAGCTTGAAGGTTCAATATAAATTGGTCGCTAGAAAGCAACTCATACAAAGGAGTTACATTGTTGGTACATGAATAGCGTCGTTTCCAAGTACTTTTGTAGCTGGGCGGTCATCAGAAATATTACAATGTGGCGGAAACCCACACCGCTCACGAGAAATCATTTACGGGGACCATAACTCAGCTTTATTGTTGGATAACAGATATTCTATGGTTTTACTAACATAATATGTTGTGAATGGACCTTCTAGGACTTTGTATGGATTTAAGAAAGCATTGTTGGTTTTAAAATGATTTTAGTCCTGTTAATTACATCCGTAGACACAACAATAATAATGCCATTTTTTGACAATAAACTATTTGTGTTTCCAAAACCTTCCATACTAACATCAAACTTTAATCCTGGCGAGATCGTTTCTCTTTAAATGTCGTATTTAAATTTGTGGCAAAATATATAATTCTACTTGACATTTAAATACTATAATTTTTTTTATTGTAATTAGATTAATGCATTAAAAATAATAATGATAGATTTTAGTATATACACGAATTTAAATATACGTGCATTTAATTATATGATTTCTATCATTATACTTAAAGTATACAGAATATCATATGAAATAGGATTATTTGAAAAATACTATGAAAGGACAACGTAACAAATTAATCGAATTGATGTAGAAGTAACGAAAAAAAGTATTCATATAATTCATTAATATTAATAAACTAAAAAAAAATACTTCTCAGTAATCTACAGATAATAATAAAAACTTGATCCTAACAGATACCATACCAGTCGAACCGGAAACAAAAGAAAATTTACTTGACTTCTGTTCATAGAACTCAATAGTTTATGGTAATTTGTTACAAAACCAGATATTTAAAGTTTAAAAACATTATAAAAACTAATAAATCCTTATTAATATTCTATTAATAAAAAAAGACATAATTTTCACGCGTAATACTATAAAAATTAATAAATTTAAACAGGACTTTATTTATGAGGGTTGTAGAATTCTTAATCGATGTTTTTTTTAAATAATTTATTTAATAATAGCGTTTGTTCTGCGTTATATCTTCTTGGACGCTAATCCTTGCTAGCTACCCCTAGCTTACATTCCGCATGCGCCAACCGCCCCCCATACTACTGATGTAATAAATTATACTTAAACGCCACGCAATTACAGAGATCGCCGCACGCCTTAACTCATCAAAATTGATTTCACTATGTTTTTATAAGAAAAAGAGGATAATCAAGATAAATTAATGTTTATAATGGAAAGATAATAACTTAATAATTCTGTAAATCATGAATATTCCCTAAATCAAGCTTTTTCCGAGCATGTATCTGAAGTACAGGAATTGAATGAAATTGCTACCATGAAACAAATGTTTCTTACGTAACTTGCCACTTTTTCACCTATACAGTTAGTAAATATATTTAGTTGAAAAAATATTTAAGACTTATTATATAGAAGTTTTTAATATTCCCGAAGAGGATTGATGTCAGGCAGGTGGTCGGTCGTAAAGACAATTAGCCAAAACTATTCACAACATGTAACGCAGACCCTGGCTAAAGATGGGAAATTGCCAGGTACAAGAAGAAGATATAGAAGTTTCTAATATGATAAGACTTTAATAAAAGATTGTGATTGCCGAAGACTGATTTACGTTGCTTTCTTTCATCGAAAAGATGTTTTCGATAAAAATAATACTTTAATATTTCAAGAATAATATATATATATATATATACAAGTAAAATTTCTAATAAGAACCTATATATCATGAATATTATGATCATTCAATACTTTATTTCTCAATCGGAAATACCTAACATTATAACAAAATAAAATCTGTCTTGATGTCGCTTTGAAGATTCAAATGATGTACCTTATGCTTCCATGACCTCATTAAGACTTAACATAACTCACTAATAATTACCAATACAAGGAAATAGTCTATCAATATAAAAAGAGGAAATGTAAAATTTGTATTCGGTACAAACAATTTAGATAAGTTTTTTATCTAAATATCAAAAACAAATCATTCATATCAGAATATATTTAAAATAATATTAATCTTTAGGAAACTATGATATTTTAACATAAACACATAACATGGAGGTATTTGAAAAATTCTGATACACATAAAAGAGAAAAGATACATGTATAGCTAAATTTTAAAATATTGTTATATAAATATATATCTTTTAATATTTTCAATAAAAATATCATACATTAATAATAGTCAATTGATTAATTATACCAATGGCATTAAATTTCAAAAAGTGTCTTAGAATAATGAAACCTTTATTATTAGTATATTATGATTTCTTTACTTTAATGTTCATAATAAAATTATTTTTATAACATCTTCTAAAAAATAGATTTATATTTACCTAAATTAGTTATTATTGCTCTGATTATCCATTTTTTGTGACTTCTAAACACTGAAGTAACTATGAAACTTTATGTTCAAAGAAATAACAAGTATATAGCAGTACTTATATTCTATATACATATATTTACTTATCTCTTGATACGACGTAAAAAAACTTAAGATTTGCATTAATGCACAAAGATAGTGTACGAAAAAAAAAAGAAAGTGGTGCCATGACATTTAAATAACCAAGTAGAAGTAGCAACCAGGAGACAATGCAACAACAAATGGATGGAAATATAAACTATCGATTATATAGTGATAAAGTATTTCAATAGCATCGTGTTTGTATTCGGAATCTCTACATAATGGATGTGCATGAGATGGTGAATCACAAATTTTATAACTAAATATATACTCACCAAATATAATCCAATGTATAGAACTGTAAACGCAAATTACACGCAAACGTACATTTTACGCATCACGATTACTTTATAGCGTAAATTATCATTTAAATTAAAAAGATATCTGATCAGTCACTATAATTATTTACGAAAATATGCCCGACGATGCAGGTAGATTGCACAAAGTTAGATATCTTAAATGTGCTCAAATTTAGAGTCTGTCTTCGACTACGACAAAATTTATTGCACTAGTTACAAATACTGCTGATCATCGCAATACATTGATTATAATATTGCAATAAACGTAAATTTATTTATTATTATCATAAAACACCACGAAAACAACAGCGGTGAATGAACGATCAATTGATTTAAAAATAAACCAATTGTCTATAAAATATTATCAACAGTACAGATAATAAATATATCTACTAATAATAAAAAAGTCAAAACAGAATTTAAAAACATTTCAAGAATAAGTATTAAAATTTTTAATTTCTATTTTAAAAACAAATACTTTTGAAAATAACAATTTTACATAAATGTATACCATGCCAATATAGTTTAACAATAACAACTTCTGAAGTCTATATTGCTTTAAATTGACATTGTCATCTGTCATTATTTGGCGCCAAATAGCGTTTTCGTTTTTATTGCCGTTAAGAACTGAAACATTTGCTGAAGGTGTTCAAGATTTTAATGTTTTCTGACTAACCGTAATTAAATAAGAGAAAAGACATGTCTACTCCTTCAAAGCGCCCTTCTTCTCGGGCATCATCTGAAGCTCCCACACCATCACGTCGAACAAGGTCTTCGCAACAACTTGTTGTTCCGGAAACTCCCCAGAGATCATCAGGAACACCTTTAAAAGGTAAAATTTGCTAGGTTTTAGTTATTGTTTTTTTAAATCTGGTATCTTAAACGAGTTTTTTGTTCATAATATAGTACTTGAAAGATTTTACTACCTTACACAAATGTTGTTACAATTCGTTAAGTTGTTGTGAATATATCCGAAATATTTTAATTTATTATACATGAAATTATATAATTTTAATCTTGCTCATATTAAAACACTAGAATATTAATTCTACTATTACTCATATAGATTATAATTGCAAAATCGTTTCCATGTTATAGATGGAACTCCTGGGACTCCACGTCGGACGCCGCGAACGCCGAGCCAAGCCCCCGGCACATCCCCCGCTAGACCTTTACCTTCCAGTCCTCTTGGTGAGATTAATAAATTAAACAGTTAAAATCCAAATTTACCATTGATAAAAAGCTGACTCCTTACTAAATTGATTGCACAACTGCTGTATGGGTGTTAAGTTACATTCAAGTTGCCTAATCGGTGTAAATATTGTTGCAATGTCAATTGTTTTAATAATGATTTATGCAAAATATATCCGACTAATTACCAATTGTCATAAGATATCACACTGGATAAGAGAGGTGTAAGTATTCATTATCAATAATTTTTAGTTACATTATTATAATTTAGGCTACAGAATATTATAAAACAAAAGTTTATTTACTTTGTATAGGTACTGATATAGAAATGAGTTCTCCTTTGAACTATGGTACTCCAAGTTCTCTCAGTACACCGAGGTCATTGCTTAGAGGTGCAATGACCCCGGCCAGGCAGCGGGCTGACCTTAGAGGCAATCAGGCTGGTCCTAATGTACCAGCACCCACGCCGAGTTCACAGGTAATATTAGAAATTTGAATAGATAACAAAAATGTTAATAATTAGAATACAAATGAGTAATATTTACTTTATAAAGCAAAACAACAATTATTTTGGTGAATTGAAGTATGTAACAAAGAATTAAACTAATCTTTATTGTATATAAATAAGATTTTTGAAGACTTCTTTGGAGACATTTTCATATTTTTGACTTGAAATTGTTGAAAACCAATTTTTTTACCAATAAAAGTATTGTGCATTCTAACCAGACAAATTAAGTATTTGTATATAATAATAGAACAATATTTTAGTAATAGGTACTTAAATAAGAATTTTCATTCCATTTTTTCAGACAGTAACAGGTGAAGTAGATAATGCGAGTGAACCGCAATTAGTAGTTTGGGGAACAGATGTAGCTATAGCAGAATGCAGGGAGAAGTTCATTAAGTTCATACAAAGATTTGTTGAACCCGACGCACTTACTACAGAACCACTGTATGAGTTGAAATTGGAAGAGGTATGTGTTTGTATTTACATATGTTATAGGATTTAATTCTTTGGCCTTCTATACTGTTATTAATATTTTTCTGACTAGCATATAACACATGACTTTTTATTCTTATGTATGTAGTCTCAGTGTTAATTAACAGTATTATTTAAATATGTTTTCCTTTGAGACCAATAAATAATTATTATTTTGCAATAATTTCAGATTCATACATTGGAAGAGCCGTTTTTGGATGTGGACTGTGATCATGTCAAAATATTCGATTCTAAACTACACAGACAGCTTATATGTTATCCTCAGGAGGTAAATTAAGAATTGTTTATTATTATAATATTACAATTATTATGTATATAAAAAGTATGTATTATACAATAAATAAATTTATTCATGATTCCTATACAATCTTTTGCAAGGAAAGACAATATTTTCATTTTTAATACTTATTATTTTAAACTAAAAATAACAGAAAATAATCCTACCTTAGTGGTAATTCATATTCAATTCCAAGACAAAAATATTTTCTATATAATAAGAGTATATTTGTGTAGGTGATTCCAGCATTTGATGCAGCGGTAAATGAACTTTTCTTTGAGAAGTATCCGGCAGCTGTTTTAGAACATCAAATACAAGTGCGGCCGTTTAATGCGCCGCAGAGGAATATGAGAGATTTAAACCCTGAAGGTAATGTGACAGAGAATGGTTTAAACTTACTTAAGTATAAACTTGAGATTTTAATTAAATTAATACTAATGCGATCTAAGTCTTTCGCGAGTATTCATTTAATTGAAACCGATATTTTCTGATTAGTTAACGTTATTATTTTAAACCTACATACTGCTGAGATTCTTGTCTGCACGTGATCACGGTTGATGAAAAGTAACCGAAACGTCGGGAGTGTGTAGTTTTTACAATAATAAAATACTCGTTGTATAATCCGAAAAATATTAGTTTCATTTAAATTTATACTAATATTTTATTAGAATTCAAAATAAAGCAATTCACTACAGTTTTCATCCATAAGTTGGAATTTAGACTTCTTGATTAATTTAGGATGACAGTGATCATTACATTCTTAGAATGACAAACATTATAGTTTAAACTGACTAGATATAAAATACAAAAGCATTATAAGAAGTAATTGATTTCCAGATATCGATCAGCTAGTAACGATATCCGGCATGGTGATCCGTACATCCGGTATTGTTCCGGAGATGAGGGAGGCCTATTTCCGGTGCGCGGTGTGTGGGGCTGCGGTCGCTGGGGAGCTCCAGAGGGGCAGAGTACCCGAGCCAGCGCACTGTGGACATTGTAACACGGCACATAGCTTCCAGCTCGTACACAATAGATCACACTTCAGTGATAAACAGCTGGTGAAATTACAGGAGGCGCCAGGTACTTGTATTGGAAAATCTTTTTATGCTTATCGGTTTTTTATATTGAAGTTTAAAGTAAGTCTAGTTGAAGGTTGCTTAAAATTGAGTTTCATTAGCAAAAACTTTAGCCTAATTCTCATATTTTAAATAATTTTATATTGATATATTATATAAAAAATATGAATAATTTCTTAAAACATTCTGATGAATTTGTTAGTGTATAACTATGGATGTTCTCTATTCTTGTTATCTGTTAAGTTATAACTTATAAGAAACTTAACAGATGTCAATAAAAATCTTATCACCATACGATAATAATATTGACGAGCATTTACAGCTAACTTTAAAACTGACCTACAATGATTAAATCCCTTTAGGTCATACAAAAAGAATTCTTAAACAATTACTTTTCTGTATCGAGTAATATGATTTCCCCAGACGACATGCCGGCCGGTCGTACACCAGCCACAGTCACCATCCTAGCTCACGGGTCACTGGTGGAGCGTGCCGGCGCGGGCGAGCGTGTGGCAGTCACCGGTGTATTCAGAGCCGCGCCCGCAGCAGTCAACGTGCGGCGCGCCACTCTGCGGGCCTTACACCGGACGCACATAGACGCGCTGCACTATAGGAAAGTGCATCACGACCGGCTGCATGAAATGGAGGACGGGTGAGGGGTCAAGCTTACTGGTTTATAATACATATAATATTATAGGTGAATGAGACGTTGACGAATTCGATCGATTAACAACTCATTGTGTTTATCACTATATGGTGTTTCTAAGAGTAAGAATGTATGATAAAAAAACATCTTAAATACTCCGTCATTAACTTTCTTAAATCATTAAAAGTCTTTTTAACAATATTAAGTATCATAAAGTATTGTGTTTTCAGCAAGGAGCATCAGTTTCCTCCAGAGCGCGTGGAGTTGTTCAAAGCGCTTGCGTCACAGCCAGATTGTTACGAACGTCTCGCTCGAGCCATCGCGCCCTCTATATACGAAAACCTTGACATTAAGAAAGGTGTGCTGCTACAACTACTGGGAGGGACCAAGAAGAACTTTAATGCAGCGGGACGGACGCACTTTAGGTATTAAAAAATACAAATAATATAATCATCTATAGGTATTTACATTTATTTTTAATACTTAGAAGATGGATGTTTGAACACTATTATATACCACTAAAATATACAGGGTGACTGGTGAATTACTATCGATACTTGAGGACGTGATATTTGACGATCATATATGACAAAATAAAAATTAATATAACATAAATATTAATAAACTTCTAAGTAAAGTTAACCAAAAGTTATGTAATTAATTACGCATCGTGTGAACACCCTACAGATTAGGTATACACACACACACATACGCGTGTGTTAGAAAATGTATTAAAATATTAAAATAATATATAAGAAAAGGTAGATTTATATACATATTTCGAATAAAACAATTCATTAAACAATCTAATAACATTTTATTTACTGGACATATTATAATTTTACAAAATATCGTCTTTCGTAAAGGGAAGCTATACAATATAATATACTTATCTCGTCTATATAGTCTTTGGGTAATTGTTTCTTCAAGAGTCACTGTTCAATAGTTTCACTATAACCACAGGGTTTCAATTGAAGTTCTGGCCTGGGCTGCTGTCCGATGTCAAGTCCCCTGCCTCCGCGAAGAGCAATGTTTTATAGGTCCTCCGAACACCACACGATATTCAAGATATTTACTTTTTAATTGTAACAAAATATATATTCAAAATATAATCTTATATATATTGAAAACATAACTCTTAAATAATGGAAAATATTTTAGTAAATAATATTTAGAAAGCGGGTTCCAATTTAACAGTATATTAAACACATATTTGACATGTTACCGGCTTTTGTACCAAAGTCTTATTCTTACTTTTTAATAATAATTCCTTAAATATTAATCAAATAATATTCTAAATACAATAAAATATATATTTTAAAGTTTTAACAGTTTTTAAACAAAGCTGACTCCAATATAATTATATAATATTAGTATATTAGACATTCGTTTGACAAATAATTGACGACACAACACTTTTGTAAGTCAAATCCTAACTATTCGATTATTTAAACTGTAAGTGACAAGATATATATTTAAATACAAATAGTATATTTAATAAACATTGTATAATTATAGAACATATATCCTAATACGTGCGGCGGCGTAGTGTTGTATCAGCACGCCGCCGTACGCGTCCACACTTGGAACGTGTCAACACTTTATTTATTTATACGGAAATTTGGTCAAATATTAACCTATTTTTACCTATTTTTTTTACACCTTTTATATTTTATATATTTTACATTTTTTATATTTTTTATATTAGTACCTATTTTTTTTACATAATTCGAATGAGAATCGTGTGCCGAGTATTCTCCTTAAATATTGATATTAATTCACCAGTCACCCTGTATAAAGACTATGCAGAGGATTGCTAACTTAATCTTTTCAGTCATTGTCTCTAAAATCAAATTTTAATGTCTAGGACCTTTACGCAACTAGTTTACAAAAATAAAATGACTAATTTTATATACAAATTTATTTAAACGTTGTATGTAATTTCAAATTTTAATATGGATGTAATGTCTGAAGTAAATAAATTTATTATTATTATACATAATATCTATATAATGTTAATTTCCATCAGATCTGAAATCAACATCCTATTATGTGGTGACCCCGGTACCAGTAAGTCTCAGTTGCTCCGCTGGGTGCACGACCTGGTGCCTCGCGCTCAGTACACGTCGGGGCGGGGCTCCTCGGCCGTGGGGCTCACCGCTTACGTCACTAAGGACCCCGACACACGGCAACTGGTGTTACAGACGTAAGGATAAGGCCGTCTACACACTGATAGTATTAACCTATATACACATCAATCCTACTAATATTATAATTGCGAAAGTTTGTGAGTGTGTGTGTATGTTTGTTACTTCTTCACGCTCAAACGACTGAACCGATTTTGATAAAATGTTGTATACAGGAAGCTGACGTCCAGGAATAACACATAGGCTACTTTACATACCGGAAATCCGCGGGTAACACCGCGGGGCGCAGCTAGTAATAAAATAATATGGAGTTACATATGGAAAATTTAATGCTGTGTACATATCATAAATAATAAATATGCAGTTAATTACATATTGAAAATGTTAAGCTATGTACATATTATAAATAGTAACAATTAATTTCAGCGGTGCGTTAGTGCTGGCTGATAACGGTATCTGCTGTATCGATGAATTCGATAAAATGAATGACTCGACACGGAGTGTGCTGCATGAGGTGAGGATTGTACTAACATTTAAGTAAGGCGGAAAACCGTCCGCTTTCTTCGGGACCGAGCCGAAAACCCGCTTTAAAATTATTATTAGTAAAATAGTCCCGCAAAACGTTGTATGCGTCCCGCATGTCCGGCATATCTATTTTTCTACTACACTTCTACACAACACCCATACGCGAGCATGATCTACAGTGCATGAATACAGATTACCTATAATAGCGACAAGCGTATCGCGTATGGAATCGTTTTGATTTTGAAAATCAGACATTAGTGCACGCCGTGACACGATATTGATACGTTAAATTATTGCATTTCGCTTAAGGTTTTTATCTTATCAGTTCCATCTGATAATTTATCTTTCAATGCCGCCGACAATGAAAAAGCGAACTTGTAAATTCATTGAAGATTTACAAAAAGAATTTCCGTTCTTGCAAAATTGTTTCGCTTATTCGGAAGTGCTGTGTAAAATATGCTATGGAACCTTTTCTGTTGCTCATGGCGGCAAATATGATATACAAAGGCATTTGACTTCGGAGAAACATAAAAAATCCCTTACTACTGCAAGTTCGTCGTCATCACTGACAACTTATTTCCGTCATGAAAAATAATGTAAAATATGGTGACAAAGAAGCAGATCTGGCAAAAGCTGAAGGTTTGTGGGCCTTACATACTGTATGTCATAAACACAGTTTTCGATCGACGGATTGCACTTCAAAATTAATTCAGAAAGTTTTTGATGTGAAGTTTAGCTGTGGGAAAACCAAGTGCGAAGCTATTGTAACGAATGTGATCGTGCCGTATTCTGCGGATATTCTTAAGATAGAACTGAATGATGTCCCATTTAGTTGCATGTATACTGATGCTTCAAACCATAGAGATATCAAAATATTCCCAACGTTAGTGAGATATTTTCATCCCACGAACGTCAAAATATTAGATCTCGTGAGTTTACCTGGTGAAAACGCAGAAATGATTTACATTTCTTTAATGGACACCCTTGAAAAGCACCACCTTAAACATAAAGTGATTGTATTTTGTGCTGATAATGTTAACACTTATTTTGGCGGGGTCGAACGTTCGGGTCAATGTCACGTTTTTAAAAAACTTCAAGATGGTTTAGGCAGACAAATAGTTGGAGTGGGCTGCGCAGCGCATATCGCTCACAACGCTATTCAAACAGCAGCAGATTTATTGCACGTGGACGTAGAACATATAGTTACAAAGATTTATTCGTATTTTTATATATGTACTGTGCGTGTAGAAAACCCTAAGTAATTTTGCGAAGAAGCAGATATGCAATATAAAAAAATTGTGGGATACAGTAAAACTATCTTCTTCAGTTGAGAGAATTTTACAGATGTATTCGCCATTAAAATCTTACTTTTTATCTCAAGAAAAAGGCCCTGCTGCGCTGCGTATTTTTTTCCTAAACGAATGCTTAGAACTGTGGTTGAAATTTGTCCATGTGCAAGCATCAATATTTAACAATTCTGTGAAAATGATGGAAGGAGACAAGATTATCATTGCGGAAGTTTCCCACTTCTTAATTGATTTAAAAAACAAATATTCAAACCGATTACAAAATGAGTATATTCCACTAATAATAAGAAATGAGTTGACAAATCTTGTAGAGAGCGGTAATGTCAACAGAGATTATTATATGGGACGTATTGGGAACTTTTATAATAATTGTATCCAGTATTTGGAAAAGTATATGCATCAATATGACGAGTTCAAAACGTCTTCCTGGATTCAATTAAAACAAAGTCTGAAATGGAATGACGCTAACGTATGAGCAGTTATTAGTGCAGAATGCAGATACCTAGTTTGGCTACGACTTTAAACGAAGATAACCTGTTTGACGTTGTAAATTATGTGTCTAATTATGTAAACAGTGATATGCTTAATAAAGAACTGCTTGCTCATTGTCCAGTATCCGCTTTGCTTACCAGGGACGAACGTGCCTACTGAGAGAGTATTTGCTTTAATAAATGCTCTGTGGACGTCCGAAAAGTCGTCACTAAAAGTAGAAACATTGCGAGCTCTGCTTGTACTTAAATTTAATATGGGCAGTTGCGAAGATTTTTAAGACATTCTCAATAAAAATCCTGAGCTTGTTAAAAAGTGTCACTCCAGTGATAAATATAAAATTTAAAAATAAATGACTTATACCTGAGTTTTGTGTTTTTATTATATCGACTAATCCCTAACGCCCCCCCTCCCATTCACGAAAGGTTAAGTCCCGCATTCAGTTTTAAACATGAGTTACTCAGAAAGGTCTATTTAGTTTCAGATATCAGTATTACATTTTCACTAAAACAGTCTCTCTATATATGTATTTATTTAACTATATATGTGTATATCTAAACTAATATTATAAAGAGGTAATATTTTTTGTTTGTTTGTTTGTTTATTTGTTACGAATAGGCTCAAAAACTACTGGACGGATTTTAAAAAATTTTTCACCATTATGATTGTGCATCTTTCCAAAGTAACATAGGCTATATTTTATTTTGAAAAAAATTAGGGATCCTTGCGAAAACTTCGATAACATAAACCACGGTCGATAAAAATCACTATTGAAATACCTTAAATCGCAAGCGCTGCAATAACTATTGATGATGGAACAAAATAATGTACTACGATTTTGTTGACCACATTATTATCTACAGGAAAGTCCGCAGTAGTGTATATCTAAGTATTATAGTTACGCCAATATAAAAACTTTTATAGTTTAACAAACTATTTAAATCGGCAACGAAAATAGGATATTCATACCATGGTATTTATACTTATCTAAATAACCTACTTTTTATTTAACAGTAGTTCAATACCTTTATATTGCTGTTTAAATTATTTTAATCGGATACTCCATTCAAAAGATATAGCGAGTAAAAAATTTGGGTAACTTAAAAATTAACTAAGCGATTCGCTGCATCGCGTCGCGATGTTGATTGTGCGTAGCTGAACTGCGCATGTGCGTGCAATGTCTATTGTGAATAAAATTGTCTTTGAACTAACTTAATTTTAACAAAAACTTTAAAGATTACAATGATAAATAACTCCGAAACAAAACCAACTCGCTCTCTGCGCTGGCCGGCGCGGCGGGAGAGAGGCGGTGCTTGCGGGCAAGCCGGGAGGGGGGTGTAGCTCCGCGAGATACCATGCCGCGCGGCTCATTCCCGCGGTCGACTCCATACTGAACGGTTGAATGCAGCGCTAATTTGTTTATGCGATATAATTATTATCGTAATATTACTTTTTAAACACAGTTTCATTTTGTAGTTGTTTTCTATATAGCAGGTACTTTATTTGTTTTACGATAGTATTTAGTTTCACAATAATAACACTTTTTTTAGTATATGCAGACGTTCTTTAAAATAATTAAATTTACTGTAAAAATTGTACAGATATAGTTTGGAACTCGAAAAAAAACATAGGTTTTATCCTAAAAATTCTGCGGGAACTCGACCATTCCGAAAATCCCGCAAACGGGAACTATGTGGGAAGAACCAAAAATCTGCCGGAAGTCACTATTCCACGCGGACGAAGTCGCGGGCAAAAGCCATTACCTATAAATATATATATTTTGATAAAAACAAACACGCGTCCTAACAATTAACAATATAATATAAATATAACTATGGAATTATGATAAAATGAAGTTTTTAAAATATAATTTTAAAACTATTATTATTTTCACGATCTACTTTTAAATTGGTATTTTTTTTAACATGTAACACTTTTCCCCGTTCACCTCTAAAATAAATAAGTTCCATTAAAATTGACGACAAATCGGTAATATTGATTCAGTTGTATTTTTGCTTACATTTTAAGACGTTAAATTAATTTGATTATATTATAGGTTAGTCAATTACTATAAGGTATCATTATAACATTTACTTGGAATGGTTATGGTTATATATTGTTATCTAAAGTAATGGTTATCTATTCTCAAAGAGGGTTGATGTCGTAAAAACAATTAGCCAAAACTATTCATTTTATAAGAGAATTCAGTGCAAAATATGTTTTTCAAATGTAATATTTGATGTAATATTTCAAGCTTTCTTTTCTTTAGAAGCTTTTTGTATGAAGTGTATATTCACTGCAGTAGTATATATACTGTAAAGTCTACAGTTTACACGATAAACGATACAGTTTGCAGTTTACACGATACCGTTTGCAGTTTACACGATACAGTTTGCAGTTTACACGATACACGATACAGTTTGCAGTTTACACGATACAGTTTGCAGTTTACACTACACACGTTACAGTCTGCAGTTTACACGATACACGATACAGTTTGCAGTTTACACGATACAGTTTGCAGTTTACACTACACACGTTACAGTCTGCAGTTTACACGATACACGATACAGTTTGCAGTTTACACGATACAGTTTGCAGTTTACACTACACACGTTACAGTCTGCAGTTTACACGATACACGATACAGTTTGCAGTTTACACGATACAGTTTGCAGTTTACACTACACACGTTACAGTCTGCAGTTTACACGATACACGATACAGTTTGCAGTTTACACGATACACGATACAGTTTGCAGTTTACACGATAGAGTTCTAACCTTTTGCTGTATTATAAAATACTAGCTTTTGCCGAATGGAGTATCCGATTAAAATAATTTAAACAGCAATATAAAGGTATTGAACTACTGTTAAATAAAAACTAAGTTATTTAGATAAGTATAAATACCATGGTATGAATATCGACATCTTATTTTCGTTGCCGATTTAAATAGTTTGTTAAACTATAAAAGTTTTTATATTGGCGTAACTATATACTTAAATATACACTACCGCGGACTTTCCTGTAGATAATAATGCGGTCAACAAAATCCTAGTACATTATTTTGCTCCATCATCAACAGTTATTGCAGCGCACGCGATTTAAGGTATTTCAATAGTGATTTTTATCGACCGTGGTTTATGTTATCGAAGTTTTCGCAAGGATCCCTAATTTTTTTCAAAATAAAATATAGTCTATGTTACTTTGGAAAGATGTACAATCATAATGGGGAAAGAATTTTTAAAATCGGTCCAGTAGTTTTTGAGCCTATTCGTAACAAATAAACAAACAAACAAAAAAATATTACCTCTTTATAATATTAGTTTAGATATATATTATATATATTAATACTCCAATCTAATAATAGAGATTAAAGTATCTTGAAGAGTATTCACATCACTATGGGCATAGACAAGTCTTCGTCAATATTAGCTGATCACATTTGTTTACAAGATATCCAATGTCTATATAAATGTACTATATAATGTATTTTTTCCAGGTGATGGAGCAGCAGACACTATCCATAGCCAAGGCGGGCATCATCTGCCAGCTGAACGCCCGCACGTGCATCCTGGCCGCAGCCAACCCCGCCGAGTCGCAGTGGAACAAGAACAAGACCATCGTGGAGAACGTGCAGCTACCACACACGCTCATGTCCAGGTGTATACATAATATTATAATTGCGAAAGTTTGTGAGTGTGTGTGTGTTTGTTACTTCTTCACGATCAAACTGCTGAACCGATTTTGATCAAATTTTGTGTACAGGAAGCTGACGTCCACGAATAACACATAGGATACTTTACATCCCCGAAATCCGCGGGTAACACCGCGGGGCGCAGCTAGTATACTATAAACAAATATATTAATAACTTTAGCAAATCCTTCTATAATCTTATATTATTTCACAGTTACCAGCTAAATTTCTTATAACGTAGGATAGTTTCAGTAAATTCAATATCTAATTTCATATTTTGATTAAAAATTTAATTTTATTTGCCATAAAAAATAGTATAGTAAGAAGTTTACAAATATAGAAAGTATTTGAAATGTTTTGTTTATAAAAGAATCTCGTCGAGTATGATACATAACTACATAGTAACGTAATTATAAAAGTTAGTATGACATGAAATGAATTTAATATTTTTGTGCTATTACAATATATTTATTGTGCATAGTTTTATATAATATGTTGTTACAAATAACGCATTGCGTGCCGTACAAATTACAATATACTACATACAATCACTGGAATTATTTTTATGATTGACTATAACTAATTATAATTCTGAATCATTTTAATTTTCTAATGGCATCATTTAAAGATCACCATTCAGCCATTTTGTACATTACTGGAAGTAACAATGAACATTGAAAAACAAATCTGAATCTGTACGCTAATTATGTAGGGTTGCAACCGAAGGTTCCAGAAAAACTTCGAAATTTACTTTTATGTTTATTGTAATAAGAATTACATAATAAAAATTATAACCTAAACTAAAGACTACATGATTGCCCCGATGCTAGGATAGTAATGACATTCCATAGCTTGTGTGGTATCAGGAATCTTCTGGTTCACACGGCTTGGTGTTCGTTCCGCGGAGTCAGCAACGTCACTCGTTATATATTTTATCCATACAACGACGTCGCCCCGGCGATGTTCATTTATTTCTTCACACTACACACACACAGACACACACACAATATAACACGTGTAACAATATTAATATATATATATTCCCAGGTTCGACCTCATCTTCCTAGTGTTAGATCCTCAGGACGAGGTGTTCGACCGTCGCCTCGCCTCTCATCTCGTGTCATTGTATTTCAAAGATCCCGCCGTCGTTACTGAGGACGAAGATTGTGTTGTATGTATATATTAAAGTGATAAGTTTTTAAGTTATAATACACAAGAAAACTAAATAGATTTAATAATGAAGGTATTGAAATCAACTCATCTTAGTAATAATTTCTCATAATCTTCTTCTACCTAGCAATTTCCCAGCTTTAACCCATGTCTGCCTTACATGTTGTGAATAGTTTTGGCTAATTGTTTTTTTGCGACCGGCCGCCTGCCTGACATCAACCCTATTTGGGAATGCATTAATGAGTGATGTCCAAATACTCTTAGAAAGTACATATGATTCGGAAAAATCACATTGGTACTTGCCCGGGCCAGGATCGAACCCGCGTCCTCGGCAACGACAGGCGGGCTTTTTAACCATTAGGCCACCACTGACTAATATATAATTTCTCATAATATATATACATTAATATATTATTTTATTTTCAGAACATGAGTCTAATGCGTGACTACATCGCCTTTGCTAAAGAACACGTCCAACCGGTGTTGAGTGAAGCGGCGCAACAGAGACTCATTGACTCATACGTTGACATGAGGTAATATAATTATATTTAAAATAATGGTTTTAATTTAGATACAGGCTCATACAGATAATAAATTTAAGTTATTAATAAGATCTAAGCTTAATTACTTTCGGGAGTATTCATTTAAATGAAACTAATATGTAGTTTCGGATTACTACGTAGTACGTGCTCCCGAAGTTTCGATTACTTTGCAGCAACCGTGATTAGACGAGATAAAATCTACGCGTTATTTTAGTATTTTAAACTATGTAGTTTAAAATACAAAAATAACGCGTAGTAATATACATCCGATAATATTAATATCATTCATATTTAACTTAACTCAGTTCCATGTAAAATAAAACAATGTGCTTGCTGATCCGAACAATAGAGACTAAATAGTTTTTATTTTTAATCGTCAAACGTGATTTACTTTACGTTGTTTACATAGAGGGCATCATAAGTCCTATTTCGATATAACCACAACACTATTTCGCTATTTAAACCTTTTTCTGAAACTCCCTTATTCCCAGATAACCAAGGTTGGCAACGCATCCGCAACAGAATGTTACGGATGTCTATGGGAGACAGTAGCTAATGTCCACAAAGTAGGCCGTCTGTTCGTTGGCCACCTTTAACATTAAAAGAAAAAACCGTGTATACATGTAAAGAAAATTCGTTGCCGTATTTTATTTATCTGTATTTTGTCGCCGAGACTGTATCGCCATTGGTTTATTTATTATTTGTCTTAATTATTAGACAGATACGCTGGAAGAGATTTTGTGCTGTTATATGTTTGAAATATTAAAATTTGTGAAATAATAAACTTTATATGTCGTTTCTTTGTCTACAGAGCAACACATTATCTTTTATTTCACAATCGATGATTGTATAAGCTTATATATGTTCCAGACGTGTGGGCAGTGGTCGCGGTCAAATCTCCGCCTACCCTCGCCAGCTTGAGTCTCTAATCCGTTTGTCAGAGGCGCACGCTCGTGTGAGGTTGTCTCCTACTGTGGAAGTCAAAGATGTTGATGAAGCAGCTCGGTGAGTTATTAACAGAATATATACAGTCCCAGGCACTGTTGAAGCTCCTCTCAATGAATGCATGGAATGAGGAGAGGTTTCGTTTGTTGAAAATTAGCACATAAATTATTTCATACAGTTGAGTCTATTTTTGAACTTATCAGTGTATAATTATTACTAAGTAACATAATAGGTACGTGTTGTATTTGTGTGGTGTATTTTGTGGTTAACTTACCCAGAATACGTGATTGTAGAACTTTTATCAACACTCTTCATTTAACACATTCAATACTTATTTCTTAGTAATATGTAGGAATATTAAATTTTTTGTTAACCATGTTTCGTTTTAAATTTTTATGTGATATTTTATAGAAGATGTGTCCCGTATTGTGAAGTTTTGAATTTTCTGTGCAATGCCTATAATCTTCTTTGAGGTATTCCTCAAAGACGATTATAAGCATTAAATACCGTATTGGTATTTTATGAAACTAGTCAATATATTGCTGAACCTTTAAATATAGCTTATAAAGAATATGTAGCTGAAACAAAAAGAGTACACTCAGTATATCAAAATTCTAAAATCAAACTTAAAAACTTATACAGGGTGACTGGTGAATTACTATCAATATTTAAGGAGAATACTCGGTACATGATTCTCATTCGAATTATGTAATAAAAATAGGTACTTAATTTTTGACCAAATTTCCGTATAAATAAATAAAGTGGGGACACGTTCCAAGTGTTCCAAGTGTGGACGCGTGCGGCGGCGTGCTGATACAACACCACGCCGCCGCGCGCGAGTGTGTGTGTGTGTATACCTAATCTGTAGGGTGTTCACACGATGCGTAATTAATTACATTACTTTTGGTTAACTTTACTTAGAAGTTTATTAATATTTATGTTATATTAATTTTTATTTTGTCATATATGATCATCAAATATCACGTCCTCAAGTATCGATAGTAATTCACCAGTCACCCTGTATATCATAGTAGATTAAGATTAAAATAATGAGATCTAAGATTTTCGCGAGTACACATTTAAATGAAACTAATATTTTCGGATTTTACTTCGCGTTTTATTTTAGAAACTACATACTCCCGACGTTTCGGCTACTTTTCAGCAACCGTGATCACGGGCAGACGAGATGTGAGTGTGAGTGTAGTTTCTAAAATAAAACGCGAAGTAAAATCCGAAAATATTAGTTTCATTTAAGTTTAAAATATTTCATAAAACACTTATAAGCTTGTATTCATTCAGTTTACATCGCGAAGCCCTGAAGCAATCAGCGACTGACCCAGCGTCCGGCCGTATAGACGTGGCCATACTGACGACCGGGCTGGGCGCCGCCGCGAGGAGACGCAGGGCGGACCTAGTGTCGGCCTTAAGGGAACTCATCAAGAACTACCCGCGACCTCACACACTCACACATGCCAAGATACTACAGGAGATAAACACTACCTCGCAGATTGTAAGTAGGATAATATGAAAAGAATTTGATTGAAGAATGACACGTAATTAGGATATATTAGATGCAGTTGGATTGTTGAACAAGTTGGAAAGAAAGTGTTAAAGTTAGGGAAATTTGGTTCGTGTGTGTAGAGAGAAATTAAATTAGATATGTTAGAGACATTTTGTGATAATATTAAGCTCTAACAAGTTTCGAGTATCTGTTTTGAGAATGTAGTTTAATATAAGTTACTTTATATCTGAAGAAAAATTTTAGGAATGAGAAATATTAGATATTGTATTCAAATGGTAGAAAAGTTACCTGTTGGTGAATGGAAGGTATATTTTTCATATGCAAATAAGTACAGAATGAACGAGCTAAAAAATCATGTAATAGGTCTACAAGAGTAGAAAAAAAACTTTAGATTTATTAAATATGAATTATTTGTGCTTTTCAGACTGTGTCACGTGACCAGTTAGACGAGGCCCTCCGAGATTTGCAAGACGAAGGAAAAGTTGTTATAGTGAGCCACACGCACCTGAGAATATGTTGATGTTAAAGAAAAATAAGTTTAATACATAAGAAATAAAAAACCGATAAATCAAACAGCTTTAAAGAAAAAAAAACATTTTTGTGTCATATAATTATTTTTTGTCTTTCAATTTTATAATCTATTGTCATTATAATATAATTTTTAATTGTATGATATATCCGCCTCACTGTTGATGTTTTCTATTAATTACATACTTCTAATAATTATGATTATAAAATTTGTATTTTTTATCAATATTGTTTTATTATTGATTGCCAGCACACTTGTATATCTGATTATGTTTCCGAAATACATGAATCTAATAACTCATTATTATTTTTCTGTTTTATTAAAGCGCTTTAAGCAATACATTGCTTAAGTATTTATAGAGTATTGAAATATTGGCATAAAGTATTCTATTAAAGCAAAAGCTCGTAAAAAAAAATATCGTTACTCTCATACATACGAAACGACTTAATTGCATACATTTTTCTTTTGTAAATTCGCATTAAAATCATACCTTTTGCATTAAAATTAATTTATTTGGTAATGTGATGAAATAAAAATCGTACTTCACAATAAATAATATTTATTTACATAATAAAACGTTGCATATAAAAGTCTTAAGCTCAATCATACACCAGTTAATGTGGCAGAATGTCTGCTAATACTCAGTTAAGTGTTTGTGCAATTAAGATTACTTTGGAACCTATTTAAGTAAAAACATATATTTTTAAAAATACACTTCTGCTTCCCATACATAACTTGAACATGTAAGATTTATAAACTATGCAACATAATGCTCAAAAATAACAAAAAAATAATAATATCCTGACATTTGTAAACCTTAACATTAGGCACGTTGGCTTTAAATAAACTATCTTGTGTTGAACAGTAACTAGGTTTGTGGAGATGGAGTGTGGTCGCCGGTCGCTCCACTGGCCGGTCGACTAGTTGGTCGACTGGTCGAGCCACTAGTCGGTCGACTGGTCGGGCCACTGGTCGCTCCGCCAGTCGAGTCGCCAGTGTCAGTGTTGGCGGACTGTTCTTGAGGCTGGTCGACTCTGCGCGGACTGTCGCCTCTCTCACATGCCTCCAACACGTACTTATTGAACAACTCCGGTTTGTCCAGGTATATGTGATGACCGGCTCCATTTATTACCTGAAACGTAAAATTATAATATTTAGTTTTTTTTTTTAAATTCCACGTAGTTATTTGAATCTGAATCGTTACCGACCTCTGCCTTTTTAGTAATTGAAACGAGTAATAGAGTAACATTCTTTACAGTTAACACTGTATTACTTTTTAAAGACTAGCACAGCATTTTAGCACAGCTCCAGTCTTTTCCATCTACATACCTCAAGTTAGTGGAGTGGATAAATAATTTATTCAGCTTAACTTTTAATATTCAGAATGTTTAAAAAATGTCTTAGATGTACATTTATATCCTAAAACGGAACAGAACTTTCACTTTTTTAATGTCAAAGGTGGCAAACGAGCAGACGGCCTACTTGATGGGCAGTAGTGACCGTCGCCCATAGACATTCGCAACATACATGTTACGGATTCGTTGCCAACCTTAATTGTTGTTGAAAAGGGAGGGGTGGGAATCGGGAAATAGCAGGAAAGGGAGGGAATAGGGAAAAGACAACCGGCTGTCACTCATACTAAAGGCTACTTCACGCCGATCTTCTGTGAGTTCACTTCCTCTTCACTTAAAATCAACAGTAGACTTGTTATTCACACTACTAACTACTATGTATTTACCTGTACGTGTGTTTCAGCCCCGGGTCTGTGTTCAGCTATCTGTCCCGCGCCCCTCTGTACCCACGAGCGCGCCCCGTACAACACCGTCACTCCCAGCGACGGAGACAGCTGGCTCGCGCGACGAATCATAGGGTGCTTCGCCCACCCGAAGCCGTTCATTAGAGCGTGGAATGCACTCTCACCGCTGTATATCGATTGTATATTCATTAATACGTAAATCAACAAATAAACACACATGACAATTCAGATTTAAAACAAGATGTATGCATTAAAACGAGAAAAATATATCAAAACATGACGTCACTCCGACGTCATTATCTGTGATCAATTAACGCCTAAAAAGTAAGGCCAAAATATATCAAAACAAATGACGTCACTCCTCTGACGTCATCACTTCGTCTCCACTGACCTGGGCGTCTGCGAGTTACACTGGTATATATACTCCGGTATAACAGTGTCGGCGTCCTTCACGTAGTTGGTATACTTCCTTGATATGTCCGGTCTGGTTTTGCTGACGAGCCACTTGCCGGCCGGACCCGCGGCCCTTACCGGCCAAAGGGGATTTAGAGGCTGGAATATGGTGGCTACGACCCGAATATAGAAAGGGATTTGGTATTTCTCGTTTATATTGTCCGGACGTTCAGCGAAACCCCAAGGATCGGCTAGGATTAGGTGGCGGACTCTGGAACGATATATTATTATATATAAGTTGAATGTTATATTCGTTATATAATGTCAAAGAACATGTATACATATACAGGGTGACTGGTGAATTACTATCGATACTTGAGGACGTGATATTTGACGATCATATATGACAAAATAAAAATAAATATAACATAAATATTAATAAACTTCTAAGTAAAGTTAACCAAAAGTTATGTAATTAATTACGCATCGTGTGAACACCGTACAGATTAGGTATACACACACACACAGACACACACACACACACGCGTGCGGCGGCGTGGTGTTGTATCAGCACGCCGCCGCACACGTCCACACTTGGAACGTGTCCACACTTTATTCATTTATACGGAAATTTGGTCAAAAATTAAGTACCTATTTTTTTCACATAATTCGAATGAGAATCATGTACCGAGTATTCTCCTAAAATATTGATAGTAATTCACCAGTCACCCTGTATAGGTTGAATGTGATGTTCGTTATAGGTTAAAGACCTTTATTGAACAATACGTAAACACACAAATCAGTTGAATGTTTGACTGTGATGAATATAGGCAGGGATCAAATTGCTATTATTATTAATAAATTAATTAACATATCTCTATGTTAATAGGTTTTAATAGACCTCACAGAGTATAAAATCAAATATATCTATCCTACTAATATTATAATTGCGAAAGTTTGTGTGTGTGCATGTTTGTTACTTCTTCACGCTTAAACGGCTGAACCGATTTTGATAAAATTTTGTATACAGGAAGCTGACGTCCAGGAATAACACATAGGCTACTTTACATTCCGGAAATCCGCGGGTAACACCGCGGGGCGCAGCTAGTAAAGATATAAAGAGAAGAAAGAGATATAAACAGCTTGTATTCACCTCTCGGGATACTTGAGAGCGTAGGCCGTAGCTATATATCCACCTAGACTGTGACCCAGCAGTATAAACTGTTCAAGTTTCACTTCCCGCCGCCACTCCTCCACAGACTCAACCCACTGAGCCTCGACCTTCTCAGCATCAGATGAGAACTTGGGGCGAGAACTCCTACCGAAACCTGATATAGAAAAATAAACATTAAAAACAAATTAAATATAAAGCATATAAGAAATCATATTTATAATTATGCCATTGTTAAAAGTGTGTTTATCAAATAAGGTATTAAAAAAATCTGTTTGGTGGAATTTAATATTTAATTCAACATCTAATGAAATTGATAAATATTTTCCAAAAATGTGTGAAAAAGACTCAAATGAAAACACGTCCCAGCAAAAGTAGATAAATACCAAAAAAAAAACAAACATTTGTGCAAGTATAAGTTATATACAAAAGTTATATTGTAAAAGAATATTAAGAAAATAATTTCTACTTAGGATATCATTGACTGCTGATAATTCTCAAAATCGTTGATAAGTTCTGTGATTTTTATTGACCACTGATTTATAACCGAATAGATAGCGAAACCGGAAAATAATTAACCAATGTATATGTATGTTTAACATCGTTTAATATAGTAATTGATTATTTTCTTATTATTAATTGATTATTGGCTTCATTCACACTGGGAATGTGGTATATTTTACTAATGTCAAAATTTTTCCATTTGAATGAAGACCGATTAATTACTTATTCTTCGAGAATAAGTAATTAATCGGTCTAATTAATTCTACTTACATCGAGAAGTGACATACTGTGATCAGTTTGATGGAGAGAAATTAAATTATATTATTATAATTTTGCATCTAATTTAATTTGTGTGTTTTAGATCTACTAACAAAGTTCCTTATTGTAACTTCAGTCAATGTCGTTAAATTTTATTTTATTTAAAAGTTAATCCCGTATCGTGTTTCCTCCATTCTACACGACACTGGCAGAATATATTTGTATGGTTGAAGGCCATATTTTAAACAACCAACCATTATTATAAGAAATGACAAAATAGTAATGATTATAATGTATACATATGTTGTGTTAGTTACACCATTAACAACTCAAGAACGGGTATACGGGTTTGGCTGAAAATTAGTGGTGAGATAGCTTGCACAATGGAAAGGACATATGATACTTTTCAAAAAAAAAACAAATATTAGTGGATCAAATCCAAAATCTTGTTATCTACTGTCTTTAAGAAAGAATAGAGTTCGCCCGGTCAGCTATACATTTCTAATTCTTAAATTAACACAGACGAAATCTCGGGCAAAAACTAGTTAATATAAAATACCTAATAAGTCCATGGCGTAGACGGGTCGTGTGGCTGCGAGCGCGTCAAGGTTGGGACACCATAACGCTAGCCCGGACGCCATGCCGTGTAACATAACGAGCGGGGTCTTCGGAGAGTCTTCATTTAAAGATATCGTCCAAATTTTGTCACATTGTCCCACAACTGAACCTATGTCCACATAGAACCGCTTGTACGCCGTCTTCACACCTGTTTATAACATTAAACATTACTAGAGCACCGAACTTACTATAATATACTTAAATTCGGAGTAAAAAATATTCAACCAGTTATCAAATTTATTTAAGGTTTTATTAATGTTAACTAAAATCTTATATTAAATATTGATTATAGATGACTGTGATTTACTATATAATTAATAATTATATTTTTCATACATATGATAAATAAAAATTCACCTAACTAATTTCAAAATAGTTAAACAATCAACAATTAAACAATCAACAACAAATAAAGTATTATGGCTAAAATAACATATCGTCGGGGATAGTGCAAATCCTCGTAACTACCGTTGGATAATTCCGCGTATCTACACTGGAAGCAGATTATCAGAAGAAATTTTGAGATGAAATATTTTCTATATTAATTACTTTTAGGGTAATTTTTTCCCAAATTGTAATTATTTAGTGTTAAATTTATTTGCACAATGGATTTGCACAATCCCCGACTATACATAAAGTTCAGTGTATGTATTGATGATTATTTTTTTCTAACAATATTTATATTAGCACCAAAGCAGGATGCATTCTTCTAAAATCTAAATGATATTATATAAGGAAAAAGCTCAAAGTAACTGCCATTATGAGCAATGATATAAATTTGGGTGATGTCATACAAATCATTAGAACTAGTTTTTTGTTATGAACACCATTGCTAAAAGTGGAATTAAAGGTTCATTATACTAATACAAGTTTTTCTTCATAAAAATATAGATTTAAATTATATACATATATACACTACATTTACATTGTGTAATTATTATTAATAGTTGTTTCATTGAAAATAGAACTATTTTATAATGACATACTGAAAAAAAGTTAAATTTGTGTGTATTGTTAAAAGAAAATCAACAATAAATTAGACACATCTATCAACTGACACTATCAGGTATCAAAAAGATATATCTAGATACAAAATGTAAAATATCTATAACAATCTTCTTGCTGTCAAAAAACTATATCCTCATATAGATATATTATGATACTCATCTCACAATATGAAGCTTTAAAATGTAATTATTAATTGAACCCTTATTTCCTTTTACATATATATATATATATATACTTTATCAATTTCCATCTATAACAATGGGTGTTCACATAATGAGGTCTAAAACTTTCGCGAGTTTTATTCATTTCGAATATGGATATACATAATAGAAATATAAGTATGTATATCTGAAAAATATTAGTTTCATTTAAACAATGAGTTTTGCAATTATATTCCTTACACTACAATGAATTGCAATATAACTAATAAAATGAAAACCACTGATATATTTATATAAGGAAGTATTTGTATGAAGGTCACTTGATAAAAACACAATAATTTCGATTCAAATAACTGCAGATAAATAAAATCATTGAGAGAATATATTATCAAACAAAAACTGTTTATCAAATGTATTAATTGTTATATATGATGTAAACTCACATGATAATATAAGTTGTTCGACATTCCTCAACATGGAGTCCGATTGACGAGTCCAGCTGAACCAACGACCGGTCCAACTAACAGAAAAATATTATTAACAAAAAGATATAAAAACTTTTTGATAACATTCATGAAGCAGCAAAATTATTAAAAAAAAAAACATAATGATGCAATATATGGCCAGTGTGATATGGTATTAGTGACATGAAAACTTTTTGGACAAAAGAACAAAAAAGAAAGCATTCAAATGTATAAATTTTTGTTATTTTCTAATTAAAGCAATATTATATTTATATCAATGTTCTCTTACTTCCACAAATATGAAATTACATATCCGATCCCGGTTCTATATAGAACACTGAAATTAAGAAATAATTGTTTGAAAATACATGCAAGTAATTCTTTGTTTAATTTATTTATCAAAAAAAAAAAATGCAAGTCAAAAGTCTAAAGTAATTGTTAAGATGACTCATGCATTACTCTATAAATCAAAGTCACACAGGTAACTTGCTTATCAACTCCCATTTGTTTCTTTTTGTGATTAAAATTATCTGTAAATTTCATTAAATAGGTACATTATTTTTCCTACATTTAGTATTTATAGTGCAAATTTTCTAGAAAAAAAAAATTATGTTACTGACAGGCATCTGTTTAAATTTTAAATTAAAAAATTGTAATTTCCTTTGTGTTTAACACAGCTAATTATATTTCAAATTATAATAATTTAAGGTTGACAAAACAATTGAATGAAAATAAATACATTTATATATGATTGGAATGTTAATAATGAATTTACTGATGCAAATTTCCTATATATTAATTAATGAACACATTTTTTAATGGACTAAAAATAATATAGGGCAGAGAACATGCTGCTGAATGACTGGTTTTTACCTCAATGAGATAATGAAGGCACGTAAAAATGGGAAAAAGTAATGATCCAAAATAGAGTATGAAATGATTCCAGCCATGGAAGATTAATGTTACGTGAGCCTATAAATAGAGTGATATTTAAAATTTTATAATTAAACACAAATAAAATTAAACAAATTGCGCAATATTTTCGATATAAAAAGTACCTGGATTCTGTTTTTTCAAGTTTTAATTCACTTCCCATTTGGCTGTAATTATCAAGGTACAGGAACGCATATCAAACTGACCGAACAAGTAAATACTAAATTTATTTAGATCTTCATTTACATATATTCCAATATCCTAGTTGCGAAGTATTTTTCTTTTCCAAATTAGCTTCTGTCATCGTCTTTGACTTGAATTTATCATGACATTTGACATCAGACGTTTATCGAAATGAGTACAAGGTGTGAGTTACTTGATTTTCGAACGCAACCTTGTGCCTTTAGTAAATATACAAAGAATGGTTTAATATTGTAATGAAATAAAAAACTACAGAATTATATTGCCCAATTAAACTATTAAGATATACACTCTTTAGTGTGTGAGAATAATCAAATAAATTGGGATATTTAAGAATTGTATATACAAAGTCCGTTTCTATGGCAATGAAAGAATGAAACAAGAATTTGAGCACTTTACATACAATAAAAATAAAATTACACCATGCAAGTTTCCAGTGTCCAGCCAGTATTTAAATTAGAATTAAACCACAAAGTAACACCTGGTATAGTAACTATCGCTAAATATGATGGTACACATTATTGTCTTACTGCGTCTGCTGGATATGATAAAGTGAGTATTTTGACAAAAAAGTCAGACATAAATTGAACCAGTAATTTTTTTTATGCCATAATCACAAATAAAAAAACATTACCTTTATTCGTATGTAAATACTAGTATATTAATTACATTTTGTTGTCTGTGAGATTTTACATAAAAATGCATAATAAATATTATATTTAAGATAATTATTCATCACCCCCACGGTGGTATGAGTGCTGGACGTGCTCAACGTTCTCAGGCACACGGAGAAGTGTCTGAACTCAATCTTAGCCAAGCTGTAATAGCTTTAGAAGCTGGGCCGATAAAGCCAGACTGTGCTCGAGATATGCTTTTAATTGGCTCCCCCACACAAATTTTAGGTAATTTCAATATGTACGCAATTAATTTCAATGACTATACATATTTATTGCCATTTTTAAGGAAACGATGAGTTTGGTTTTCCTTAATAAATTAATGTTATTTTCAGCCTACGATGTCCATAATAATTCAGACATATTTTACAAAGAAGCCCCAGATGGCGTAAATGTAATAATTGCAGGGCATTTTAGTAAATACACTGATATGTTGGTTATGGTCGGCGGAAATAGTTCCGTTTCTGGTATAAATTGTGAAGGCGAAGAGGTGTTCTGGAATGTAGTTAGTGGAAAAGTTATTTCCATGATAACATTTGATTTTGATAAAGATGGCAAAAATGAGGTTCGTGTTCAAAAGTTATATAGATAAAATTGATTGAAAGGATTGATTTAAGAAGATAAACATACATGTTTTATGTATAACTTTGAATTAAGATCAGAAAGAGTATATTGCTGCAGTTTTAATTAGAATCCCCTTGTTAAATTAAATTTTGAGCTTATTTAAAAGACCTATGTACTGTAATAGAATTCTTTACGTCTTCTTTTATTGAAAGACGATAAAATACATGTTGTTTTTAAAAAATAAGGAATTTTATGTAATTGTTTTAGCTGCTTATAGGTTGTGAAGATTCGTATATAAAAGTGCTAAAGGATGATCATTTTATCATGGAGATTGCTGAAACGGGGCCTGTTTCTTGTTTATCCAATATAAATGAAGTTAGATTCGCTTACGGACTAGCGAATGGAACTATTGGTATTTATGAGGAAGGCATCCGTCTTTGGAGAGTAAAGGTAGCCGAAATTATAAGATTCAAATATTTTTGTTACAAATTGAACCAGGACTTATATCATTTCCCAGTAATATAGTTTATAAATCAGTGCTAATTTAAAACTGCGATATTTCTAATTTGCCTAAACGAATATTATTCCCAGTCGAAACAAAACGCAAGAAATCTCCAATGGTCAGGAGAGAACTTGGTTTGTTGTTGGGCGAATGGACGAATAGATTGGAGAGATTGTACAGGGAGAGTACTGAGAAGAGTACAGTTGCGATCTGATGCAGCGGCCATGATTTTAGCGGATTATCGCACAGTTGGTATCCCTGACATTGTTTGTGTATCAACTAAAGGCGAAGGTAAAATATCTAATTAGACTATACGCTTATTGAAATAAGCTTAATATGTGTATCGCTCACGCGGTACCATAGCATCGTCGATATAATGTTAACAATTAAATTATATAAAAAAATATTATTTTCCTTAAATTAACTCATAGCTTCCTTAAAACCGATTTTTTCACTGACATAGCTACACCCAGTTCATATGATAGTTTAAGTACTTTGCTTTTGAGGAAAACATTTTTTTGTTAAGATATTAAAAATATAAAAAAAAATCGAAACTTTGGAAGTGATCCTTAGAATTTAAAAGTATTAAATTCCTAAACACAAGATTGTTCACCTTTTATTATATATAAATTTGAAAGTATTTTAAACTAGCTTTCCGCCCGCAGCTTCGCCGCGTGGAGTTCGGTTATATCGCGTTTCCAAGAGAACCTTTCAAAAGTCTGGGATAAAAACTATCCTATGTTCTTTCTCAAGGTCAACTCTATCTCTGTACCGAATTTCATTAAAATCAGTTCAGTGGTTTAGGCGTGAAAGCGTAGCAGACAGACAGACAGACAGACAGACAGAGTTACTTTCGCATTTATAATATTAGTAGGGATTAACCACATAAAATCATTCTTATTATTAGAACTATAGAAAAATATATATAATTAATGTAATGTATGCAGTGCTTGGATTCCCGCCGATCCTGGATAATGTTGGATCAAACACAGCAAAAATTGCTCCATCGGAAGAGGATAGGCTCGCAGTAACTGAATTGTTGAATAAGAAACAGGCCTTAATGATAGAACTGCAACACTATGAAAGCAACGCTGCTAACACGTCCCTAGATATAGACCGACCTGACAGCGCTATGCCCACTAATACAAGACTTCAAGTCGCAGTTGCGGCTGACACAGATGAAGTTAGAGACTTTTTTTCTATATTATAATATAATCAATTTTATATACTGTTCATATTAAAATAATAACGCTATCGTATGTTTTTTATGGCTGCTAGCCAGTTAATTTTCTGAGTTTCTATAGGGATGCCTACAGTTGGCTGTATCGACAAACAATGACACAATTGTGCGTATGGCACTTGTGTTAGCGGAAGGTATTTTTGATTCTGGAGAAACTCTCGCGCGTCATCCTCATTCAGCTCAACTGAGATCCGTTCTGTACATACCATTAAAGCCACCAAGAGATGTTCCCGTTGATGTGCATATTAAGGTATTACACACTAAACAAAAAAGTTCTAAATGCGATTGGTATTATGTATTTAATATGACGTATTAAAAAAATTATTTCTAATATATTTTGGCAATAAATTATAGTACAGTTAAATTAAGGAGGTCATTTGGAAAATTAATTAGAACTATGCGAAAAAACGTTTTCATATGAATGTAAATATAATCGATAAAAGTGTAATAATCTTTTTTATAAAAAAATTACAATTTTTAGGCACTAGTTGGTTATCCAGAAAGTGAACAGTTTCACATATTTGAACTTACGAAGCAGTTGCCACGTTTTTCGATGTATACTGTAGTTTCTTCCTCAATAGTAAAATCAAAGGTTGTAAACTACGTGAGTTTCCGTATCACTGAGAGAGTTCAGAGAATATGCATTTGGATAAATCAAAACTTTTTGTTAGACGAAGAAATTGAAATTAACAACGAGGAGACAAAAGAGCTGCATATTAGTTTCATGTGTCTCAGAGATATGTCTCGTTTAGATTTGGATTTTTGCCCTGATGGTCAAGTGAAAATTACAACTCACGATATTAGACTTGCTGGAGATTTGATTCAGAGTTTGGCAGTATTTTTGAATTTGTCTGATTTACAGGTATTGCAAATACATATTTATTATTTTTAGTGATATTTTTTTTCTATATAATTTATTATTGCATGTGTAAGTAATACAAAAAAAAATCAAACTAAATATATTTGAGATAATATTATATGCTTACTACTTTCAAGGCTTTTTCAAAAGTAAACATTTTTCCTTGATATTAAAGTTTATAAAAACATCCTTCAACAGAAGCAATTTTTTATAAATGCGGCTTGAAAATATCTAAAAATAAAATAAAAATAGACAAAATATTATTCAGGACTATTGTGTTATTTATAAAAGATAATTTTGCTTCGTTGTCAGTGCAACTATTCGATTTACGTATTGTTGTGGCTTGACTATTTAACTGACATTGACATTTAGCGGCGTTTAACTAAAGTAACATAAACGGCTTTAATTAGTGTGATACATATTAAACATCCTTGAAAGAAAGCAATAAAATGGTTGAAAATAATGACGTAGAACTCTCAGAGGCAGAAGCTGAACAATATGATAGACAAATTCGTCTATGGGGCTTGGAATCTCAAAAGAGGTTACGCGCTTCTAAAGTTTTAATCATCGGCATGTCTGGTCTAGGAGCCGAAATAGCCAAAAATATTATACTATCAGGTGTGAAGAGTGTATGTTTATTGGACAGTGAGAAACTCAAAGAAACAGATCTTTACTCACAGTTTTTGGCTCCTCCGGACAAAATAGGTGAAAATAGAACCGAGACATCTCTACAGCGTGCGAGGGCTTTGAACCCTATGGTGGACGTCACTGCAGAGACGAAAGGTGTGGACAATCTTCCCGATAGCTACTTTGCGGCTTTCGATATAATCTGCGCTACCGGTTTGAAGCAGGAGCAACTAGAACGAGTTAATAACATATGCCGCGACAACAACAAGAAATTTTTGTGTGGCGACGTCTGGGGCACGTTTGGATACATGTTTGCTGATTTAATCGACCATGAATATTCCGAGGAGATAGTTCAACACAAAGCTGTTAAACGTGGACCCGATGATAACGAAGCAAATGCTAGAGAAACTGTCAGTATTACTGTGAAGAGAAGAGCTATTTACGTTCCCTTACAAAACGCCTTATCCGTCGACTGGACCAAACCTGAATTGCGATCGAGATTACGTAGAGGAGACCCGTCATATTTTGTCATGAAGATTCTTTCAAGATTTAGAGATGAATATAACAGAAACCCTGATCCAGCACAGCGTAAAACTGAGACTGAAATATTGTTGCGTATGCGAGATGAACTAGTTAAAGAGCTGTCTCTCCCTGCTGGATTTATAAAGGATGCCTTACTGACAGATGTATTTGGAATAGTATCTGGTGCTGCTGCCGTCGTTGGTGGAGTTATTGCTCAGGAAGTTGTGAAGGCTGTGAGTCAACGGGAACCGCCTCATAATAATATGTTTTTCTTCAACCCCCTCAAAGGCGTTGGATTCGCTGAACTGTATGGTCAATAATATGTGTAAACTAATATTTTGTACTAAATAAATAACATTAACATTAAATATTCCTTTTATTTATTTTCACCATTACATTCCTATTCGTACCTTAATTTTCCTCGTATTGTAGCAATTTGAATGTTTAAAACAATTTTCTCTTCTTTAAAATCAAAGTACATATCGTCATATGAACTTCTGTATGTGTGTGGGTTTTCATATACATATATATAAAAAGTTTTACAAACAAAGTAAATTTCTGAATATAAATATTTCAAACAGTTAAATATTTTCAGTCTATAGCGCGATTTCCAGAAGCTGAAGATAAATTAAGGATGGAAATGAATGTGGTGTCTGAAGTTAGTGATACGAGATACAGACTGGCAGCGGAAACAGCTGAAAAAGCGCAATTACTAACAGCTTTATTACCCGCTGCCCAGGACGCCGCGTCATATGACTTGTATAACATTTTATTAAGAATATTATAATTTCCACTCATATCTATACAAACTTGTACAGTTAATATGAGTTTAACATGCTCATATATGTAGCGTATAAAGTTTTTCATACATGCATCTTCACATATTATGTTATCAATTATGTTCATGAATATATAAAGTTTAGGCGCTCTATATTTAATCACAAATGCTAACTTGTGGCACGGATTTTATTTGGTAATATACTAGCTTTTAGAATGTTAGTGGTATTGTAAAACAATTTCTTTTTATTATATAATCGGAACATATGTATGTATATTTCGAAATAATTTTCATGTATACAGGGTGACTGGTGAATTACTATCAATATTTAAGGAGAATACTCGGTACATGATTCTCATTCGAATTATGTAAAAACAATATGTACTTTATTTTTGACCAAGTTTCCGTATAAATAAATAAAGTGTGGACACGTTCCAAGTGTTCCAAGCGTGGACGCGAGCGGCGGCGTAGTGTTGTATCAGCACGCGTGTGTGAGTGTGTGTGTATACCTAATCTGTAGGGTGTTCATACGATGCGTAATTAATTACATAACTTTTGGTTAACTTTACTTAGAAGTTTATTAATATTTATGTTATATTAATTTTTATTTTGTCATATATGATCGTCAAATATCACGTCCTCAAATATCGATAGTAATTCACCAGTCACTCTGTATAAACAAAGTCTGATATCTAATATTTTGATTGTTTACAATAGAAAGCTTAACCATTATGTTTTGGTTGGTCTTAAGTAGAATTTCTATCAGAACCCTAACCATTATTTTTTTAGGAAAGAAATGTTGCAAAGGTACAAAGATGTTATTTTATTAAATGAAGAGTTACTTGCGGGTTGTCACGTACGGCGGGCGACGCAGGAACAAACTCTGACGTCACTAAAGAACTTGCACACTATACTACAACAAGCAGCTAGGTTGAGAGGTAAAATACTATTAAAGAACTTATCTATTAAAAGCTTTGGTCGAGTAATGTTTATTGAGAATTCTTTCTTTAATTAAGTGTATATATTTAATGTTTTAGTTGCTGGTCCCCAAAAAAATTCGAACTCTACTATGTTATTTAAGAGATTTTTTGTTAAATTTCAGTTGGCAAATACAGTAAAATGGTTGTGAACGCATGCAGAAAAGCCGTCAGCGACAACAACACTGAGGCTCTTGTTAAAATACTACAAGCTGGGGATACTTAAATTTGAGAAGGAAAAATAAAGAAAGAACTATTATCATTACTGTTTTTTTTTTTAATAAATAAGCTATGGTTTCAATTATTATTGCATTTTATTCATCAGGTAAATACTATTTTATTAGTGACGTGTAAATTAAAACATCAACGTCGCATGTGGACTACAGATAACAAAAATATTCAGCAATCATAAAAATTAACAAGTAATATTAATTCAGAAATGTAGTATTTGTATTGTCTTCTTCTTCTACCTGGCAATTTCCCAGCAATAGCCAGGGTTTGCCTTACATGTTGTGAATAGTTTTTGGCTATTTGTTTTTACGACCGGCCGCCTGCCTGACATCAACCCTTTTTTGGAAATCAACATTAATCAGTGATGTCTAAATACTCTTAGAAAGTACATATGATACGGAAAAATCACATTGGTACTTGCCCGGGCCGGGATCGAACCCGCGCCCTCGGCGACGAGAGGCCGAGAGGCGGACCCTTTAACCACTGAGCCACCACTGACTGTAGTATTTGTATTGTATTTTATAATAAATTACTATTCTACATGAAATAATCCATTTATATATGTATTATATTAAATCACACAGTAATCTGTTTAGTCGCATAATGGACGTCATCAGCGCTAACATTTAGAAGTATTCTGGGTTCAGCAGGTTTTGGTTCCATCAGAAGAAGTTTGATAGCTGCCAGTCTAGCACATATGGCTAAGGTTTGAGAAGGTGTGGGTGGGCGAATATTAGGTGCTGATCTGTACGGTCGACCGTCTAAGGCGACGATCGCACCGGCCGTTTGTAATACACGGGATAAAGTTGTCTCGTCTGAACCGGTTCTTTCAACCTGAAATGATGAATTACAACAAATTTTACATGTTATATTATCGTTCATGGGTAACTTAAAAAATAAAATTAGTGAACAAAGAAAAAATTTGGTTAAAGATTTCAAAAACGGTTTGAGAGGCATTAGTAACTTCATACTACATTTTTGTCACCAAATTTGTCTTATCAAATAAGACTTTATAAGATAAAATATTTGTAAAAAGTGGCGAACTTGGTATGTACTTGCATTTTAACTATGGTAGGCCTTTTGATGGATTATACGATTTTTTTAAATAAAGATTTTATATGCTGGATTTGCCATTTCCCTTTTCCCACCCTTTCCTACCCTCTCTTAATTCCATCCCTTCCACCTTCCCCAATAATCAAGGTCAATATCTATGATATGTGCAACATAACGGGTATTGATTGCTTCGGGCAACAGTGATTGCTTCTTATCAAGTAGGCCGTCTGCTCGTTTAATACATTTCACTTAATAATAAAAATACAAATATTACTACCTCAGCGGCCACAGCTCTCAGTATGAGTCTCTCAGCAGGGGAGCAGTTCCTAATAGCTCGGACGGGGGCACTGGAGGCGGCCTCGTTCAACGCTCGCTGTACCTCCGCTAGGCCTGCGCCCCCAGCGCCACTCAGCTCCAACGCTCGACTGCACAGGGCGAGCGCGCGACGAGCGTCACCTGATACAGCTGCTACCTTCCTGAAATATAGTATAATATAGTCATTGTAAATGTTTGAACAAATCAGTTTCGAGTCTTTGAATGTAAATTATATTTCTAATTTTGCGAATTTAATACCTTAATTGTTATTATCATTATAAAGGATTACATGCATGTTTAAAGCTCTTGGAACCAAAATAGTGTGTAAGGAAAAGAAATGACTTCTACAAAACTGAAAAAATGAATCAATCTGATTCATCAATAGAAAAAAATTGTGAGCTCAATAAAAATTGAGACAAAATGCTATATTTTGGGTTACTAATTGTAACTATATTTGTTTATCATATTATCGTTTATAGGTCTTCTAAATGTTATATCCATTTAGTGCTCGGATATTATCTATAGTACACATAAATCAGTGAAAACTTCTTCATCATATCCTAGAAGACATTCATATTATTTTCTCTACCTGGCTATGAGTTGTACCGCGTCAGGCGTCACATTAGCTCCGGCCAGTCTCGTGGCTACTATACATTGTAATTGTGTGTGAGTGTATGGAGGGAACGTTAATCTAGTGAGTCCCAGTCTAGAAGCCACTCTTGAAGCTAACGCTCGTTCTGGAAGGTCCATAGTATTAGCCACAGCCAATACTGTGAGAAGCGCTGTATTGTGGGCAGCCCACTCCATTATACTGTAGAGTACGTCTTGACGTCTATTGCATAGCGCGTCCAACTGAAAAAAGTATAACAACCATGTCATTGCACATACATATGTTATTTATCAATAAAACCTCATAAATATGAAATATTCACAAATTCCTTTAACTGATTTACTAATATGATCATATTAAAAATAGTATATATTTCATATAAACAATACTTAATAGAAAGTAATAAAAAAAAATTCTTAATAAAAAAGGGATATATATAGGATAATATAAGTCATCTAACCCACCTCATCTACAAGCAGCACAGTCGGTGTCCTCCGAGGTCCAGGGTTTGTGAATCGCTTCTCCAATAAAGAACAAGCCTGTTCCCATACCACAGATTTCCCTTTAACATATAAAAATCATTTAAATTAAGATGTTTATATGACAAATGTTAATTATGTGTTAGTTATACTTGCTTAGTATTAATAAGTAATAATACTATTATAAATGCGAAAGTAGGTCGCTCTGTTTCTCTGTAACGCTTTCACATCTAAACCACTGAACTGATTTTAATGAATTTTGGTACTGAGATAGAGTTGACCTTGAGAAAGAACATTGGATAGTTTTTATCCCAGACTCTTGAAAGGTTATGAGATCTAAGATTTGAAAGGTTCTCTTGGAAACGCATTATAACCGAACTCCACGCGGGCGGAAAGCTAGTAAGTAATATAATGTAGGATGATTATGTTATTACATTAGTTTCTGTCATAGTCTTGTTTTTAACACAATACACACATGACAAATTTAATATTGTTTTATTTAATATTACAATAATAATAATAAGCATATAATAATACCTGTGAGTTGTTTGTATATCTGTACATAAGCCTGTCTGGGTTCAGCGATCCTCATTCCGTTGACCTCAACCAGTTGAAATTCGGGAAGATCGGGTTCTTCTTTCAATATATGTAGCGCTGAATTCACTGTAGCTGTCTTTCCAGTGCCCGGGACACCAGATATGTACATGCATCTGTAATATCAAAGCAAATTTTTTATAGAACTTAATTTCACAATATTTTATAGAATGTTATCTTAATACAATAATCATGTATTTGTATAAGTGATGTTAAAATGTTAATTATATAATGAAAATATATATTTTATTATATTAACTTCATATTAAAATTTTATACTTACTTGTTAAAGCCATCCAGAAAGCAAAAAATATTAGTATGTATATGAAAAATCATGAATAATATTTAGTGACAAATTTATTACTGATAAATAAATTTCTATCTACATAAAAAATACTGTAAGACACCAATGGATCTAAACTCACCCACTAATTCCATGTAACAACTTGCTCTTTACAAATGACAATATTTCATGCAATTGATTTTCTCTGCCGGGAAGAGATTTGTTTTCTTTTATGTAATCTAGAACAGAAAACCGGAAATATGTGATCATCATGACATAAATATAATGCCAATAAGGACCAGTTCCATATAAAACACTATTTAAATTGGAATTTTAATGGTGAAGTTATAAGTGATGAAATTATTTATCAAATCTATGGAAATTCAGTCAGAAGTTTAAAAATTATAAGATACATATATATTTCAAATAAGTAAATGAATATTTTATTACCAGTACTGTTATCAATGGAATGTACCCTGCTGTGTAGGGTAGGTGTTAGTTCACTGGTAAGAATTCTTCTTGATATACTTTTAGGCGTTTTCGCTATAGAGCTTCTTGCTCTTGGTGTTTTTGGTGTCTTAGGCGTCTTTGGAGTTTTAGGAACTTTGGGGGTTTTAATTCTGTAGTCATCATCACTGCAGCTTGAATTTCTATGGATTGTTCGTCTAGGTGTTCTTTTAACAGGTGAAATTTCCTCATGGTATACAGGATTCCTTGTAATTCTTCCAGATCTCGTGGAATAGGTGGTGCATGCATCCTTTTCATCATCCTCGAACACTAAAGCCTTCTTTGGAGTTTCATCATCCGTTTTCATTCGGGTTTTCCGTTTAGGTGTTGACGGTACATGTTGCCTTATAATTAAAGTAGGAAGTTCTTCATCCGAATTTTCTTTTAATTCCATAGACAGAATCTCTTCAAGATTTTTTTTGCTTAATTTCTTAGCACTCTTTGGGGTTTCTGTAACTGGAGTGAAGGTGTTGTTTTTTGGTGTGGCCGCTTTGGGTGAGGCCTTTTCATTTTTGTCTGTTAGTATAGCTCTTTTAAGGAGTAGTTTAGTACCATCATTTTTACTGACACTCCAATTTTTATCTGATATTGAAACTCTGCCCATTCTTTTAACCAAACTGCTAGGTGTTTTAGGCGTTTTGCTTTGGGGAGTTGCATAATTCTTTGTGGGAGTGCTTAACAGTTGAAATGCTTTCCTTTCTTCATCCATTACAGGTTCAAGCATAACTTTTTTCCTTCCAACAGCTATAAGACGATAACGACAAATGTAATGTGATGCTGACTGTTTTATGATTTCATCTGTGTCTTTAGTGAATGTATGTATCACTGTACATTTTTTGAAAAACGTTTCTATTGATACATCAGTGTTGAATGGTCTGTGATCTTGTACTACCTGAAAGCAAAGGCATGTATTAAAACATTCGTTTAATTTTTTTTTAATTAAAATCTTTGTTATGTTACCTCTTTTTCGTAGAATTCAATCTGTTCTGAGTTGTTCACGCATCCTTTTGGTAAATCTAAAGGTCTGGAATACCATTGGACTTTAGCTCTGAATGGGTCATTTGTATTAGACCGATCTTCATAAAGAGACACAATCCTCGCCGCATCACAACCTTCTTCAGTATCTGGCTCCGCTGCATCAGCATTGGACACCAGAATGTGATCGCCAACTTCTGCCACTAACTCTTTAAACTGAAATTTTCTGCAATTTATAGTATTATGAAAATGTTATCTTGTTTTTGTGGAACCGCTTAATAAAACTATATTATTATTTATACAAATAAAGATTTATTTTATATTGTAATATAAAAAATTGCTCACTGGTAGAAGTGAAAAGAAGTAGAAAGGTTTTGATCATTTTGTATTTCTTCACTTAACCACTGTACGTTCTTAACTACGTTTCTCCGTCTCGGCATTATTTATAGCAGTGCTTTCGATTTTATTATTAAATATGTTCGTTAGTTTTTAAGAGTAAACTTAATATTTAAATTGACGTTACTGTCACATTTCCCGCGGTCGCAACTCTGTAGTCTGTATATTACCTTAGTTTTAAAAAACTACCCGGTCAACTGTCATAAAATTTTGTCTAAAATAATAAATAAAAATTATGGATGGTGGTTGTGTAATTTCATAAATACATTTTATATTTTCAGTATTAGGTTATAATATTTTGCAGCGTTTTCAATTAACAAATTATATTGCATGGTAAGTATTAAATTGTCAAATGTCAAATCACAATAAATACATTTTATTTGATAGCTGTCAAACGCACGTTTCAAGTTGTATTTGTTGGTTATTTTTATTTTTTTACTCATAGTTACAATTATCAAGAAATCTATCCGTCATGAAATTTAAACAGAAGAAATCTTCTAAACAGACTCTGTCAGATAAAATAGCAGATGCGCTAACCATTAAACCTAGAGCGGATATTGAAGATGATGTTATATTTGGCACGAAACCGAATACAGTTTCTCGTGCGGATTATTCCTCTGACAGCGAGGATGAGGACGCTATCAGCGATTTTAGGAAGCGTAATGTTAATTTATTAAGTGAGATAAGTAAGAAGTACGAAGGTCAGGTAGTATCCCGGAAAGAGTTAGACCGAAATAGTTCAGATGAAAGTGTTGACGATGAGAGCGATGAACAACAGTCCGAGCAAGAAATATCAAAGAATCTTAAGGGATTGATGTCAGATGACGAGGAAAGCGAAGCAAGCGATGACAATATCATCAAAAATGACAAAACTAGGGATGAATCTGATGATAGTTCTTCAGAAGGCGAGAGTGATGACTATGATATAGTTAAAAGTAAAAACGAAGATGAAAGCGACGAAGATGGCTCGGAGGAAGAAGGAGGATTTGATATCAGTCAAATGGAGGAGCCCGTTAAAGAAGAATTTGAGCATGTCAAAAAGCAAAACATTTCAGAAGAGGCTAAGAAAGGTATGGCCGTCAGAAACCAGTTGTTATTGTGGGAAGGTCTATTGGAAATGAGGATACATTTACAGAGATGTATGAACTCAGCAAACAGAATGCCTATGTCTGATACATATAAAACTCTGAAAAACCATTCTGAATTTGTTGAGGAATCTGCACCGGTGATCAACAATGTTGCTAATGTTTTAGAAAAGTGAGTAAATATTGAAAGACTTACTACAAGGAATATAAATTTATATAAGAACTTCATTTAATACAATTTAAATTTGAACCCTTTCAAAACTTCACTGCATATTTTAATTCAACATTAAGTATGGTATGGTAACATTAACTATGGTATGGTAAGTATGGTAGACTTGTTTTCGGTTTGAATAGCAATGCTTTATTTTAATTCTTATACATACATCTGTTATTAATACTTTTGTTAATGTAATGACAAAATGTTGAAGCTGTATATGTTAATTAAATTTAATACAACACCCGGTCAGATTGGCTAAATGATGTAAAAAAAATTCCAAATAATTTATGAGTATTACAACTTATTGTTGTGGGTTACAGTTATTGAAAATACTGTGATAATATTGGTCATAAAATGAATATCTTTTTCATACTGTTTTGTATTCTATACTATATTATATACTGTTCTTTTTGTTTTAAGTTAATTTTTAATTTCCATACATTTATGACATCAAATTAATTGTATGAATTTCTTTTAGGTTTTTAAATCTGCAAAGTCTGTTATTAAAGCAATATCCCGAAACTAAGACAATATCAAATAAGAAAAATACATCCGAGGTGCAGCAAAAGCAAGGAGAAGGAAGTGACGAAGAAATACCTAGTGACACAGACAATGAAGAAATTCCTTCTGACACTGAAAGTGAAAATGATCAACCGCAGATAAAAGAAGTCACAAAGAAAACAAATGAAAAGAAACGAAAACTAGAAGATTACGAAAGTGATATCGCAACAACCCATAAAGCTTTTAAATCATACAGAGATGCGACAATCAAAAAATGGAACGAAAAAACACGTCTAGCAACCGCAGCTAACATTAAAAGTGCACCCTCAAATACTATACTACAACAGATATCATATATATTGTCGGACAGGGATAAGCTTATACGTCGAACACAATTAAAGAGATCAGAATACGATATTATCGGATACAAAAAAGATTCAACTCCCACTGAGAATAGAGATCAAAATGGAATGGAAATAAATCCAATAACAAGAGATAGGAAAGATAATGATGAATACATTCCAGAAATCTTCGATGATAGTGATTTCTATCATCAGTTACTGAGAGAGTTAATTGAGTGTAAGTCAGCGGATATATCTGATCCAGTACAACTCAGTCGTCAATGGATTGCTCTGCAGCAGATGAGGAGCAAGATGAAGAGGAAAGTTGATACAAGGGCAACGAAGGGTAGGAAAATTAAGTATGTTGTACACAACAAGCTAGTCAGTTATATGGCACCCGAGAAATCTATTAAATGGACCGATGAAAGCACTAATGAGTTATACAATTCACTGTTCGGTAAAATGTTTGAGAGCAATAATGTTGGCACCAATATAAATTTGGATAATGTAAAATTGTTTAATTAATAAATATATTATATGGAGATTCAGTTTTATTTATTCATTATGCAGTTAAACAAATCTTGTATTATAAATTTTGAAATTTTGACATAATGGAGAAATAGGTGCTTGCTAGGATTTTTATTTTGTAATTAAACTGAAACAAAAGATAGTTCTATGTATTGCTTAAATGAAATAAAATTAATATTGATGTATAGACATGATATTTTTTCAAATTGATATATTTTTACTAACAATATCATTCATAAAAATATTGTTGTTTATTTTAGTTTGTATTGAAAAGTAAACGTTTGTCAAGATGCTCATAATGTAAATAGTAATGTCGCTTTGGAAATGTTGTAATTTTTTTTAAAGCTATTCAGACCCGTATTTAAGGGGTAAGTCCTATCGGGCCCCCGTTGACGCTGTCAAAGCCATTAGGGCTAACAACTACAGTAAAAAAGTTTTATTTTTTAATTATTATGAGTCTCCCGGAAGTATACTAAAAGCACGCATTGGTGGTGTGAAAACAGAATAATCAATAGTTTAAAGTTTATTCTTAAATGAAGATATTTAAAACAGATAATGCATGTTTTTTATTCGAGCATTAAAGATATCATTCAGACTGCATGTTTTTGTTTTCTGATACGCAAAAGATTTTTTTCTAAGATGACAGATACAATTTTTTTTTTACACTACACACTAAAATAATTGTTTTCTCTTATATAATATTTGATTTGTTTGAAATTATTTATTGTTATCATTATCACAGACAAAAAAAACACACAGTAAAATATTTTGTGATCAAATAATTTAAATAAAAAACAATAGGTATTATAAATATAATTTATTATATAATTTTCCAGTAACGTCTACTATCATCTAATCTTATATTCAGGGTGACCCGAGAAGCACGTCAGGTTATCTCACACACACATGTATTTTACTCCGTTATTCACTTGTTTTTGGATGATTTCAACCATTAATTAAAATGACAATTCACCCGTGAAGTGTTTTGCAATTTTTTGAATGTAGCTCTTATTCCAAAGATATAAGATTTATAATGTAAGTGATATGATTTAGATTGTAGTATTATCTTTTCTACACAATATAATGTTTTGGATTAGATCACGTTCGCTTGATACATATATAAAAGGAAAAATTATGTGAAGAAACGAGTAGATATCATAAGACGGAAATACATCTATTGAAGAAGCAATAGTTACAAATATTTAGTCGAATTGTTAAGCTTGTTTCAACCGTTATTAAACAGCAATTTTAAATAATGAGATCTAAGACTCGCGGGTATTCATTTAAACGAAACTAATATTTTTGGTTTCACCTATGATGATAAATAACAGGACTAACTGGCAAATTCATATCTCGTCTGCCCGTGATCAAAGTTTCTGAAAAGTAACCGGAACGTCGGGAGTATGTAGTTTTTATATCCAAAAAATATTAGTTTCATTTAATAAATATCTAACTTGGAGTAAAGTTAGTAAGATAAACGTGAAGTACGAGTAGTTCTTCTCATAAGTTCCTTTTCTGATGCGCCAAGAATATTCCCTTTAGCTACCAAACATCACGTGACGGCAGCTCATCTTGAACTTAATCTATTGTCGAGAGACAACAGAAAGCACTTACCTACTAATGTAAAGTGATTTGTCAAATTGTGCAACGCCAGAAAAACAATGTAATGATTAATGAATGTACGTATTTGTTTTGTAATTCGCTCATTAAATAAAAACGTTGAAATTGTCAAAATTCTTGTGTTAAGGTAGGATATATTAAGCATAGAAAAAAAAATATGTCCTACAGATATATCTGACAACAATTCCTTTTTATACCTTTATTTAATTAAGTGGAATAAATAGTCATAGATCTCGTATGTATATTTCTAAATATAGCATTCGTCCATATATTATAAATATTGAAAACATCAAACCTACGCATAAAGATATTAATCGTACGGAATGCGTAGTTACAATATGGATTACAGAAATGTAAATTCAACCTTATATACTCTCAATGTAGAGCTATTTTGGTTTGTACAAAAATCTCGCATTATTTTATTTACACTAGACACATCAAAGAAATGTACATATATGCGACTTCTTTATGTTCTGTGGTTTTATTTGCGGTATATAACCATTCAGGTGAAAATATTTGGCAGAAAACTTGTATGCCTGTGCCTCGAGCCTTGTTGTGTGTGGTGGCGTTAAACTTTAACAAAAAAATAAAAACAAAAAACTGACATTCAACAAAAAAATCCTCAAATTAAAATTAATAAGTTAAATATAAAAAATTAAGAATCGTTTTGTAATTATGTTTTTAACATGAAAGCATAATAATAATTATTATAAAAAAAATACTTAAATTAAAATTCTTATTAGATGATACACAATGAAATCTTCTCGACAGTGGCTATATTTAAAAATGCAACTTCGTTTTAACAATTAGACATAATAGTAGACTTAAATAAGCAACTTCAAGAAGTTTTAGGTTCGATTCCTCTAGTCAATGAATTACTCATTTTGTATTTTCAAAACTATGCTTAACATTTACCTTTGTATATGAAAATTTTGACATATTTTCAGTGTCGTCATGCTATTAGAGAATCTGAAAAAAGAAAATTTTTAATCGATTGTAAAAGTTTCAAAAAGAAATTAAAATACATATAAGGTTGTTTCCGGACAAACGATTACATTGATAGGACACAACACACGATGGAATTGAATCATATGTAATATATGATCTAAACTAATAGTCGAGACTTACTCAAAATACAATATTGGGTTGTTTAAGTTATAAGAATCGTCATATTAAATTATTCAATAGCTTTTTATTATTTTCAATACAAATATTGAGACCAAAATTAGAGATGAGATGAGATGATGATCCAAAGAGAGGAAACGAAGTTTCGGTCTATCTTTATCTCTCTCAAAATAGTACCTTACTGACTGAGCGCCAATCATCTATGAGGAAAGAGAGAGTACTAGACCGAAAGCATAGGCCATCTCTCTCACTCTTTTCAAACCAAAAAATTACTGCAGATTATACCCGTACGGCATGTCCATTAGTATATGTATGTCGATGTGTTTAAAAATCCACAGTTTTAACTTTTGATAACTAAAAAGTGCTAACGATGTAAAGACTTACTCATTATATGAGATTGATTTATGCTAGGAATTTAAAATGTGATATAAAACGAATAACCTTTGACGAGTTCATTATAGGTCCGTTAAATAAGATCAAACATGTGAAGATACATATAATATCTGAAGTCAGAAAGTGTTATTGTAAGAAGACTTTTACAGTGAAATATAGAATTGATAATAGAACCCATGACGTTTGAAATAAATTACGACCTTATGCTAAACACATGTTTTGTAAAACATAACTGGAATTAATGCTATAGGAGTTTAAAATCAATAGTTTCACTTAAACTTTTTTCCGAATCAAAATTATTTGGAAGAACATTCTGATTATTTTTAAATTGGGAACATAATTTGATGGACAATTATTATCTCTAAGTTACTTTATCGTGTTATGACTTTTTAATCTTGATAAACGTGTACTCTTAGTCTAAGTTAGTATCGCCAAACTGCACACGGCGAGTTAACAGTTTTTTATTCATAAATATAGGCATATAATAGTATTACAGTATTAACATAGGTGATTAAGAAACTGGTAAAAGCCCGGCGTCGTCGGAGTGGTCCTAATTGCCGGGATCACCCCCCATTCTCCGAGGGAGTAAGTCCGGTCTTTGCCAGGACCGGCCAGTCGTTGTGTGCCCTGTCGCTGACAGATCCGGGGTACACCGACATAGCGGTCGATGGCTTTCGCAGAGGTTTTAGTGAGTGACCTGAACAGGTTCAGTTTCACACATCCCTTCCGGCCCCACCAAGACCGGTTGGATGGCTAGTAAAGAGAGTTTCCCTACAACATCAAAAAAAAGGTGACTAAGAAAGTGGCAACACTTTTATCAGCATATTAAATAACAGGTTCAAAAAAACTCGTGTCCAAAGTCGTAAAAACATTAAAAAGTTAAATAAACGTTTTTTTTTGTTAATATTAAATACCTTTATTTCAGACTAGCTTTCCGCCCGCAGCTTCGCCGCGTGGAGTTCGGTTATATCGCGTTTCCAAGAGAACCTTTCAAAAGTCTGGGATAAAAACTATCCTATGTTCTTTCTCAAGGTCAACTCTATCTCTGTACCGAATTTCATTAAAATCAGTTCAGTGGTTTAGGCGTGAAAGCGTAGCAGACAGACAGACAGACAGACAGACAGACAGAGTTACTTTCGCATTTATAATATTAGTAGGGATTATCCTTTATGTTGTTAGATATCACAATGCATGAGATTGTAATTAACGAGCCGGGATAAATGTTATTATCTTGTTCGCAGAAAACGTTAATTAAGTAATGTCACAAGGAAAATAACACATTTTCTTTTGTTACACAAGGAGTCATTATTAATCTATTAGCAGTATGCTGTCAAAGTTAGATTTATACTCCACCAGCGGTTTCCTGCAATATAGAAAAACTTATACTGTGTGATTTAATTTATAAGCTTTTAAATTATTATTAACTTGAAGTATATATCCTATATTATATAAATCTTTATTGTATTTATGATCTAAATTTTGCCTGTTCTTTCGTTAATAGCTGTTGAACTATTGTCTGAATATTAATTAACAGAAATACAGTTATAAATACACTTAAACTTTACAAACTTGATGGAAAATTTATCGTAGATAGATAGAAAATGAAAGTAACCTTTATTTAATTATTAAAAAAATATATATTTTTTTCGATTATTATTCTGTTGGATTCTTTGGGATCTGTATGTTTTTAATGTTATACTACAACTGACTTAAAATTTTGCAAAAAAAATATTAATATATTTAAAAATTCTAAATACTTAGTGGCTGCCTTAATAATATGTAGAATTAGTACAATATTTTACCAAAGAGGTTTTTAATTAATTTCTGGTGAGAGTGTTGCCATACTCAAAAAATATTGT